ACAAACTACATATCATCCCGTCAAACCTCAAGTTAGATATACAAACTACATATCATCCCGTCAAACCTCAAGTTAGATATACAAACTACATATCATCCCGTCAAACATCAAGTTAGATATACAAACTACATATCATCCCGTCAAACCTCAAGTTAGATATACAAACTACATATCATCCCGTCAAACCTCAAGTTAGATGTACTAACTACATATCATCCTGTCAAACCTCAAGTTAGATATATATTTACATATCATCCCGTCAAACCTCAAGTTAGATATACAAACTACATATCATCCCGTCAAACCTCAAGTTAGATATACAAACTACATATCATCCCGTCAAACCTCAAGTTAGATAAACTACATATCATCCCGTCAAACCTCAAGTTAGATATACAAACTACATATCATCCCGTCAAACCTCAAGTCAGATGTACAAACTACATATCATCCCGTCAAACCTCAAGTTAGATATACAAACTACATAGCAGCAAGGAATAAATCCGAACTGTTTGCAAACGTACAGGGTGTATACGATGGCGCTGATATCCTGTTTTGGAATTTGAAAGAACCGTTAAATGTTCTGTTTGACTGTGTTGACGTAATCAGACATCTCGAAAAGAAATCTTTTTCATACAAGTCTAGAGTTAGATACAATCAGTGAATTCAAATGCATTATACAGTTGTTTCATACATGTTGGACTTGTCAGTGATGTCAAGGGCCTAATAATACATCTGCACCATGAATATGCTCCAGGAATAAAGCATAGGAGTCGACAGCGGAAAATCAGAAGAAAACGAAAGAAAAGTCAAAATCTAGATAGGAAGGTGCACTAGTGCCATATTAAGCACGTCAGACAGAATATATTGTTTTATCCAGCTTCGAACACGATTTAAATTATAAAGACAGTATTATCCGTCAACTAAAACGACATTTTGTACCGTCACCGTCTCTATAACAACAAAGATGACGTCACAATGGTAGTAATATTGGTGCCCATTTTTATTTTATGTTCCACTTCTTTCTGATTATGTTTCATTTTGTCATTACGATAGAAAAGTAAATCTATTTTCTTTTTTACATATTTCATTTCACTCACGGAACCGAACCTGGTTAAGACATATATTGTTTCTTACTCTGCAGTCCTATCAAATGAACACTCTCGGTTTCCGTTGTCCGAATTGTAAACATACACCAACCTAACCTTTGGTGAAATATTTGAAGATAGAAACGGAATATGCAGTGTAACATCTGTTTTGATGTGCGCTTATGTACATATAAGATACATCATTTTGCAAATTTAAAGAAAGTTATTTTGTATGATACAAAATGACCAGTAATCAGATGTATGTACATGTCATATATTGCTTTCATTACTGTGAAAGAAGGAATAATGTATTCATATGGTAATGATAGTGCTTCATCAAAGAATAACAATATAGACATAAAACTATGTATGCTTAATGCATATCACATGATCTGTTTATTCTTTTCAAATATATATGTGTATATGCATATGCATATTAAGCATGTACATGCTTAGTAAATATCACAGGATGATATATATATACATATATGTGTGTGTGTGTGTGTTTGTGTGTGTGTGTGTGTGTGTGTGTGTGTGTGTGTGTGTGTGTGTGTGTGTGTGTGTGTGTGTGTGTGTGTGTGACTGTATTTATGATCAGTGTGATGATCGTGTATATATGCGCGCATATATAAGACTATATTTATGTGTTGGTGTGTATGAGGAGAGGATTTTCACAATTTCAAATCACAAAGAATTTTATTTACACATATGTCAGATGTAGAGCTTATTTTGTACCATCCCTTACACATATGTCAGATGTTTAGCTTATTTTGTACCATCCCTTACACATATGTCAGATGTAGAGCTTATTTTGTACCATCCCTTACACATATGTCAGATGTATAGCTTATTTTGTACCATCCCTTACACATATGTCAGATGTATAGCTTATTCTGTACCATCCCTTACACATATGTCAGATGTATAGCTTATTCTGTACCATCCCTTACACATATGTCAGATGTATAGCTTATTCTGTACCATCCCTTACACATATGTCAGATGTATAGCTTATTCTGTACCATCCCTTACACATATGTCAGATGTAGAGCTTATTCTGTACCATCCCTTACACATATGTCAGATGTAGAGCTTATTTTGTACCATCCCTTACACATATGTCAGATGTATAGCTTATTCTGTACCATCCCTTACACATATGTCAGATGTAGAGCTTATTCTGTACCATCCCTTACACATATGTCAGATGTAGAGCTTATTTTGTACCATCCCTTACACATATGTCAGATGTATAGCTTATTCTGTACCATCCCTTAGACATATGTCAGATGTATAGCTTATTCTGTACCATCCCTTACACATATGTCAGATGTATAGCTTATTCTGTACCATCCCTTACACATATGTCAGATGTAAAGCTTATTTTGCACCATCCCTTACACATATGTCAGATGTATAGCTTATTCTGTACCATCCCTTACACATATGTCAGATGTATAGCTTATTCTGTACCATCCCTTACACATATGTCAGATGTATAGCTTATTCTGTACCATCCCTTACACATATGTCAGATGTATAGCTTATTTTGTACCATCCCTTACACATATGTCAGATGTAGAGCTTATTCTGTACCATCCCCACATGTTATCATTATTGGATTATAATAAATGCTACTGAAAAGTTGAAATAAAATTATATATTAATTAGGTAATGTAATACATAAGGTTAAAGCATATTTCCCCTTCCAGTAGTCAACAATCCATGTGAATAATGAAAACGACTTGAAACATTATGTACATGCATACTAAAATTAGATATAAACTCCATATAACTTACCAAAGGTATGAATTATGGATATACAAAGTGTTCCAATGAATGATTAATAATAATTAAAATGTATCATGAGCTATTGTCAAATCCTTTCTGTGCAACGTGTTCACATGTTGTAAATATTTATTGTTAAATGTATTCTATTACAATTTGCATGACAATAATGCATCAGCCACCATGCACCAGTCATCCTTAATATTCCAGGGATTACTAGCCTTCTCTGTAACCCTTGGTTGGTTGGTTGCTTTTCCGTCTTTGCGACTTCTCACGTGTTCGGGTATCGTCTTACCAACGAAAGTCGATGTTCTTGCGACGATAGAAACCACAAACATCACAACAATACACAGAATGTAGAAATATACAATAATAAGACCGTTTCAGACTTCCACTTACTGATTAACTGTTTAATACGTCGGAACTGTCCTAGACTACGCTTTACCTTAGCTACAAGTGTTAGTCTACTATCACACCAAGGATTTTGTACAAATTTCAACAAATTTGTGTTATTTGCATACTTAATATGGAATGTTCAATGCATGCTTCCAACTATATTTCATAAGTGCTTTATATTCCATAACAAACTGGAGTTATCTCCCATCCCCTGTTTTAACCTGTTTAATGTAATGCAGAATATATATATATTGTATTCATGTGTTAAACTTGGAAAGGACTTACATAGCCCGTTGTGCGATTCTATCAACATATGAGAAGTTAACAAAATTTGTTGAATTGAAACAAATGAGTAAGGTTAACTGTGGATATATCAAGTTGACTTGGCATTACTAAATGATTTTGGTTTAAATCTAGTCAGATGATGAATATCTCCTCTTTAAACGTTATATGGCTTTTGTGTAAGCCTTGGCATTATTGACTGATAACCACATCCGATCACATCTCAGGGGACATGACACAACATCTTAACATCTGTATGAACAAAACCAAGCCCAGTCAGATGAATGTAAAGCGTAAAACATTTGAACATGACATATATATATATATATATCTTTGTTATTGAGAGGGTTTCAATATGTTAATAAGCCTTGTACCCAAGCACCCTGTTCACTGTTTGGAATCAAAACAAGACATCTTTAAACCAAGCATATTTGCTTTTTGGTTTTTTCTCTCCACCTTTTGGATTTTTCTATTCAGGCCCCTTTAAGTTTACATAACGGACACACAAATGAATAGCACCATTATATACAAATTTGGATAAGATGTGGTCGAGCCAAATAACGAATTAAAGCTGTCATGTACATGTTTCGTCCCTCTAGGAATCGTCAGAGATGCCAAGAGGAGGAATGGGGAGGTGCACTATTCCAAATGATCTTAGAAGAACGTCAAATGCGCGTGTTTACTCTGAATCGTGCCACTAATCAAATAAATTAAAAAGTTGCATGTAGGTTAAGACAAACCTTGGGGACAAAACATTTGTATGATACAGTTTAATGACTTATTTGGCTTCTTCTTTACCTAATCTTTAATTCATATTGAACGGAGTTATTTATTTGTGTGTACTACACAGTCTATAAGTAATAGAACAGGAAGATTGACAAGGCCTGATACTATCACGTACCGTTAGAACACAAACACTGTGACATTTTGACGAAATACGATTACATGGTATTGCCGCGATCAATAGAATGCCCCTTAGTGGTAAGACAGGAGGGAGGATCTCAAATCGAGGAGGAAGGATGCTTCAGTTGGAAAAGACGAGGATTGTAGAGTGTCTGTAATTGAATTATTTATTCTGACTGCCTAGATTCCCCTATCACACTGACAAAGGGAGGAATACCTTGTTTTTTCTCTTATCCTGCTTGCCTTTTTATGGAAGTGTTTTCATTGTCTCAGTGTTCGTAAAGTTGGCGTGACGTCATATTCATTAAAGGGGATCACTCCAGTTTTGTCCCAAGGGTGAGACACGGAAATCTAACGTAAAAAAGCATGGATATACCTGTCCAAATTAAGAGGAAAAAACCTAACCAAAAAGAAGTATCATTTATTGTATGATGAATGACACATTATACTTTCATTATTTTGGACATGGACTGCTATTAAGTTTAAATTTTGTTATGAAATTCATGGTCATTATAAATGTAGAAAGTTGTGGTTATGTTACAGATAATATTTCTCCAAAAGTGGGACGAAGATCTACTGACGTTGTTACAAGAACACAACATATTACCTGAAAGTGTTATTTACTTGAAAGAAAGGTAAGTTTCTTTATGCCTATATGAATTAACTTCGTAGATGTGAAACATGAATTTGTTCCCACATGAATTGATTAATATTGACATTGCTATTTCTAAAGGCAATTTCTGATTCCTGGCTTTGTGGATACTCACATCCATGCATCACAGTATCCCAACTGTGGCAAGGGACTAGACGAAGGGTTGTTGTCATGGCTTCATAAATACACGTTTCCAGTCGAGGCTAAATTCGCAGATCTGGAGTTTGCCACTGAAACCTATTCTAAAGTTATTGTAAGTAATCTACGGTTACTTGGCAAATAATCGTATTTACTGTATTTAGCTCTGAATGGCTGCTAGCGATGTAAAAATTCTCTTTGTCAAGATAAAACGTTTTTCAGCATTAAATCTCACATTATTGTTAAATATCTATTGAATGGAATAGAACTTTTATCACTATTTTCAACTTTCTTTGCAGTCTCGAGTTATAAAAAATGGCACAACTACAGCATGTTATTATGCAACCATCGATACAGATGCCACACTGCGACTTTGTGACATAGTAGGTAAGTTACCATGGCGCCCCTATTCATCTTTGTGAAATAGTAGGTAAGTTACCATGGCGCCCCTATTCATCTTTGTGAAATAGTAGGTAAGTTACCATGGCGCCCCTATTCATCTTTGTGAAATAGTAGATAAGTTACCATGACGCCACTCTCCCACTTTGTGACATAGTAGACAAGTTACCATGACATCATTGCAGTCTTTCCGACTTCGTGACATCGAAGGTAAATTACCATGACGCCACTATCCCAGTTTGCATTATAGTAGGTAAGTTACCATGACATCAACTTCGGCTTCCTAATAAAAAGTTTTAATTATGCTGCTTCAACTGTTTCTATCGTGGTGGTAAATAGGAAAGAATGAAAAAGAAACAAGTATCCAACTTCAGTTATCAGTCCAAAAAATCTGCTTGTTACAGACAAGGCCGGCCAGCGTGCAGTGGTGGGAAAAGTTAACATGGATCAGAACTCGCCAGACTTTTACAAAGAGGAGACAACCCAGTCTTTTCAGAATACAATCAGGTTTGTATTAGTTAATAGATATAATATACCATTGCTATATCTAAATAAAAAAATTAAATGTCTCCAATGTCCTTATTGGTTGGAGCATTAGTTTAGTAGTGATGTATAAATCGTGAAACAATTGCACAAAAAGAAGGAAAAAGTGTTTCCATGAGGAAGTATGGTATCAAAATGTAGTATTTCAACAGAAAGATGTTTCTGCCACTTGTAAAATAAATAAAGGGAAAAAATGCCCTCCAAAGTAGGAGGTCTTATTAGAGTCCAAAACATTTAATTCCTAATGTGATGGGAAAAGACTGTAAACATGTTTTGCTGGCATCCGTGAATTTGTGATAGTTTTGTGAATAAACACTTAAGATGTTTGATATATGACTTTCATGAAAGATGGAATAATAATGGAGATCATCGACATGCTGTACATCTTTGTCAATGAATGTTTGCATTTGGATAATGATTGGTCATGACTCATCCCATTACCCAGTGGTTGGTTGGTAAAATTGAAATGAACATAAAATGATATTATTCATAACTCGATTATGTTTCGTATCTGACCTCTGGTCATATCAACCGTTTTTCATTTTCTGTAATATTTCCATGGGAAAAAAATAAAGTAATGATATATTTGATACTTAAAATTGTTTTCGATGTCTACCTCTACCACCAAACTGTAAATCAAACAATATAAAGATTTGAACTGATGCTGGCGACAGTTTCGCTGCAATCGTCGGTTGAATCGGGAAGGAATTTTTGAGAATACAAAACAGCTCTCAATGAGTCGTGAAGTCCCTCTTTCCCCGGTGTTGTTTCTGAACAAATTTGATCTGAATACCTCATCCCAAAAGAAGAAAACTTTTAAAGGAATTCTTTTATTTGCCCTTGTGGTAACACCAGTTGAATTCATTAGTTCCTGTGATTTATTGATAACATTTCGTTTTCATTAATTACAACTAATTTGTATCTTTACAGATATGTTAATGAAGTTATCAACCGAGAGGTACGTATAAATTGTAACCTACACTACACAGCACAATAACATTAGTTTGACGTTAAGGCACTGGATTTTGACAAAAAGTCGGTCATCCAACCTTGGGAAATACTATATCCTCTGTGATATAAAGTAACTTCCTTGATTAAAATATTCAGGCCGCAATTATCACTGACGAGTCATAGGAGGACGAGACAGCTGCATGATGCAGCTTAATTCATTAATATGGCTCTACTGTATCTAATTATAAAAACGCTATTTAATTGTGTCTTTTGTACAATCTTGGGTATATTTCATGTTCTTTAATACGCCTGGTGGTTTTCTTGTTGGTGACCTCATTTTTATTTAATATTACTTTAACGCCATGTTTTGAAATAATTGAGCTAAGAAATTAACTGTATGTTAAGCATGATGATTTTGATTTCCCTATTTCCCCTGATGAAAATGATAGGAAGTATTTACGATGGTCTATTTCTTTTTGCGATATGAAACTGAACGTGTTTGATGCTTATCGGTATGTGTGTTAGTTCAGTTGTTTATTTTATTCTCATTTGCGAACGTAACAACACTTACATGGCTTAAATCTATTGAACACGGTGCATTCGTCGATGAAACAGAAGACTCTTACCCTTCCGAATCACCTAGTTGTATTGTCCAGGCAAATACCTGAATAAAAATTTTTATAGAAAGTTATATAATAACTGTTCTTATAAGTCTATATCTAGATGTATTCATTCTTAATTGTATAAAAACGAACTCCTTATTTCCATTGCAGGTTTTTTTCTGAAGTAATGTTTGATTTTTGACATGTTCTTAGTGATGGGGTAAAAAAATTTAGGGAACGTATCAGTAGCTTGAACGTGACTCCCAGAGTCTAATCCATAGCATGCATTCTGAGATCAACAGATACATTTTATGTTATATACTAATATATAGTTAATTTCACAACAACAACAACAACAATTCATATGACGAAACCATAGGACTATCCTAGGGTGTATACATACATACCGGACACAAAGCTCTCGTACCTTTTGTTGATATCCTGTTGTATTCCAGCGTTAAATTTATATGATTTATTTTCATATTGTACTTTTAACCGACAAAATTTATGTAAATGTGATATATAGCTTGTTTCGTGTAAAGAAATTGTTAAGTTGACCTTATTCTAAGGCAGAATGAAAACATTGACCTACCTGTGTTTTAATAGCGAGTTTTAGTTAGGGGCATATCTTGTTTACCAAGTTTTGACGTGATACATTTTCTATAGATCAGATCGCCTTGACATACATTTGGATCCAAAGTTTTGACACAAACATCATACGATGAAACTATCCCATTACTTAAAAATCTATAATCATCCATGTCACGAATATTTATTCAGTGGCCTGAAAATATCACTCGGAACTTACAGAATAAACAAACACCCGATCAAATTTCAGTGTTGTGTCGTGATTGTAATGATAAATGTTTTACATTCCGGGTAATTGTCCTCATTTAGCCACACATGTCACTCTAATGCCTCTCTATACGTTGATTTGGATATACTGCCATGTAATACCTTTTCTTGTATCATATATATTTGGATGGTTTTCGTGAATGAAAATAGTTAGCATTACTCAATCCTTAATTCAACAAGAAGACGAAAACGGTACCGAAATTATTTCGTCTTTTAATTGTTTGTCATGTGATATTCACAGAACAAGATTAGCTTTAAATTTTTATCATTTGTTTCGAAATTCATTAGCTCTCACATCTTCTGAACCTTCGTTATCTATATTGGTGATTGGTATTATCCAATCATAGTTAAGGATACAGATTCTTTACACTATAGCTTCCATGTTCATTAGCTCTCACGTCTTCTGAGCCCTCGTTATCTATATCTTTGATTGGTATTATCCAATCATAGTTAAGGTTACAGATTCTTTACAATATAGCTTCCATGGTATTATCCAATCATAGTTAAGGTTACAGATTCTTTACAATATAGCTTCCATGTGACTTACAAAACGGTATTGACATATCTGTAGTAATGCTGCACTGCAGTTACCAAGTGTGGATTTTATAACAGTGAAGTAGTGCAGCTGGTAGAACGGTTGGACCAAACCAAGGTTCAATTTCTGACGTTCTTTAGTATTTATTGATGGTGGTTCTGTTGGTGTTAACCTTTTATTCATTTGAGAATGTTACATTACCTACATGGACTAACTACGATTTACTAATTGGTTGTCGTCGGTGAATTAGAAGACGATCACCCTTCCTATATACCTCTGGTTATTTTTTGCAAATCTTTCTTTTGTTCGTAATTTTCCCTCATTTCATCAATTATGTGTTTGGATTGTGATTTTTTTCTCTTGTGATATTTTCATGTAACACATAAATGTAAGTAGTGTCATGGTTGAATGTTATAGGTCTCCTAAAATAACATTCCATAAGAACATTGGACATTGGACAAAAGACGCAACTGAATAGCCCCTTTCAATACAAGTTTAGAATAATATGCAGTAGAATAAAATAAGATAAACTATGGCTTTGAACTATTTCATCCTTCGGTTATGCTATGAGCTGAAATCTGGAGAACTAAGAGGCGACCGCGGAAAATTAAAATCTGTCGTAAGAATAACATCCCGATGGAGAGGTGCATTTGTCCCATAATCGAATACATGTAGGTTTTTTTTTTCTTTCTTTCTTTTTTACACTCAGAAAATAGCAAATCAGCAGGTCTCACATAGTTACATAGCGACTCAGTTTATGCTTTTTCATGTTTTGTTAATATCGCTGTACATATTTTCTGAAAAATTGTTTCTTCCTTCTCCTTGCTTCCCCCATCTCTCTCTCACCTCTCTCTCTCCCCTCTCTCTCCTTCTCTCTCTCTCTCTCCCTCTCTCTGTCACTCTTAGTTCTGTCTTTCCCTCTCTCCCCTCCTTCTTTCTCACTCCCTCTTAATCTTTCCTTTCCTGTCTCGCGTCTTTTCTCCTTTCTCTTTCCTCTATCCCTTTTCTCTCATCCCCCTCTCTCTTATTCACTCTCCCTCTCTCACTCTCACTTCTCTCTATCTCCCCCCTTCTCTATCTCTCCCTCCCTCTCTCTCCACTTCTCTCTCCTCTCTCTCCCCCCTCCCTGTCTTTCCTTTTCCCTCTCTCTCTATCTCTCAATCACCCTCTCTCTGTTTCTTTCTCTTAACTACACAAATCGAAGATCAAAGATAACACATTTGTTAACATAGTATGGACGTTATAAAAAAGAAATATATAAAAAAAGAAATGAATTATTTTGGTTCACTTTAAGATATATTTTAAATCACCAATTTATTGTTTTTGTGTAGAGAACGATGTCGCTGTCACCATGCTTGCTGAAATTCTTTTGGCTTCATTTTCATCACAGTGTGTTCTTTTTTTTTTTTTTTAATAGCATTGTAACTACGTGAACGATTATTCAAAGTGATTCGTCACGTTTGCTGTAATCATTTTTACAAACATAATTTCAAGTAAGTCATCTTTTGGTAATACTTTAAACATAATTTTCTGTTCAATTCATACTTAAATAGTTTTACTATGTCCACGTACTTTGTCCTTGAATCACTTTGGTGATACCATTTATATATAACAAACCCAACCAGTGATAACAAACTATTAATCCAGTCATACGCAGAATAGGTTATTTTATATCCAATAACTATATATTTCAAACATTTCATATTTATGGTGTAGCCTATTCTACGAAGAGATTCTTTTACGTGATCCCAGAGTGGAGTTATACAAATACACTCAATAAAATAGTGAATATAGTCATCTTTAACTTTACATACTTCGCAATTCTCGTGTGACTTAATATTCCATCTTTTTAATAAAACGCCATTGGGAATAATATTACTGAATAATTTCCAACGAAAAACTTTTTCGTCGTTCTCCCTTACAACCTTAAATACAAATTCAAAAAAGTTGGTAAACACGCCTCTACTATTTTCCTTGTATTTAAGTTTTTCTTTCCAAACTTGGAAGCTATGTGTAGTATGGGATTTTTTACCCCTTAGAATATCATACATTTCCTTGTTACACATATTTTGCAATGACTTTGTTTTGTATGTTGTTGTATTAAACACACAAACATCCTTCCATAATATCTGAACGACCGATTTAGATTTTTCACTATGTAATTCTTCTATCCAACATCGTGGTATTGCTTGTTTTACAGATAAAATTTCAACTAACCAGTTACTTTTACAATGCAGTTTATCATATATAAGATTATCATCTATTTTTCCATAAATTCCCACAATATCGTTTATGTAAATCAAACCAGAATCTATCCATGTTTTAAACCATAGAGCCTTTCCACCCAATGTTATATGTTTGTTGCCCCATATCACCTGTTGTTTTATTTCCCTGTAACTTTTTATATTACGATTTTCCTCCTGCAGTGTAAACCACGAACTAAGTAAGTCAAAATAAAATTTCGGTAATTCCTGATATTTTGGCAGGAGTATAGTTGAACATGTATTCATTTAAAAAATTAAATTATTTGCTCCAAATTTATCATAATAATAGCGTGGCAAAATTTTCCAATTGGCTTCAGTGTGGTTAAGTAATCGCTTAATCCAAGAAATACGTAAGACATTAATATGACATTGGATGTCTCTTATTTTTAGCCCGCCATTATCAAAATCACAGATCATAGTATTTCGTTTTACTCTATCAGGCTTCCCATCCCAAATAAAAGTGTAAATCATCTTTTCTAAAACCTTAATCGTGTCATTATCGATTCCAATTGCACTAACGAGAAAAGTAATCATTGGAATAACTAGACTTTGTATTATTATCGATTTTCAAGCAAGGTTAACTTCCTTTTTTTCCAATTTTTCATTAATTGGTCTATAGATACAATTTTGTCTTTCCAACAAAGATTGGAGCATACTTTACTGTTCATACCAAAGTGAACACCCAGTGATTTTGCCGTTTTCACCCATTTGATACCTGCATGACAATTGTCTTTATTTTTATTTGATCCAACAAAAATACCCTCTGTCTTATCCTTTTTCAATTTTAATCCTGACATTTTTCCGAATTCCTCAACTAATTTCAATGCCCTTTTAACCTCACTATACCTCATGAACAATGTAGTATCATCTGCTAACTGGGATATCTTTACATATTTATTATTTAACTTTACACCTTTAATATTTGTATCAGAACGTAGTTTGCATGCCAAAATTTCTGCCGCTATGACAAATAGTAAACAAGAAAGAGGACAACCTTGCCTTATTCCACGTGATATTTTGTAGCTTCCGGTTAACCAGTTATTGTTCTTTACACAGCCTTTGATATCCGTATACAAAGTCTTAACCCACTTAATAAATGAGTTCCCCAAACCGAATTTTTCTAAACAAGTAAACATAAAATCCCACTCAATTGTATCGAAAGCCTTTGAAAAATCTAGAAAAATTATACATGAATCAATGTTGAACTTTTCCGAATAATCAATAATATCTTGAATAAGCCTGATGTTATACCCAATAAATCTATTGCGTATATACCCGTTCTGATCAGTATTTATGATTTTTGACATTACTGGTTTTATCCGATTAGCCAGAGAATAAGCAGCAATTTTGTAATCAGTATTGAGTAAAGAAATAGGCCTCCAATTTCGTAGATTGAGAGCATCATTTTTCTTATAAATTAGAGAGACGATTCCTTTTTTTTGAGAAGTACTCAATTCCCCCCTCCTGTATGAATCATTTAAAGCTTCAACTACCGTTTTACCTATCTTATTCCAAAATGTTTTATAGAATTCAGCCGTCAGCCCATCACTCCCTGGACTTTTATTTAATGTCATGTTTTGAACCGCGTCTTCGCACTCTTTCAAAGTAGGTTTATACAATGAACAATGCTACTGAGTGAATGAATTCAAACGTAGCGCTCAGGTTACGACCAATCGCGGGACGAAAAGTCGACCAGCAGTGTCAAAATAAGACAAAGTAACCATAAATTGATATTAGTTTTTAATTTGTCAGCATTTTAGTCTCTGCCGATGTTGTATGAAGGTTTGATGGTATATGGCAGTATATATGTGCGTGTATTGTCTTTATAACATTTGTATTATTCTGTCAACATTTCTTACACTATATACATGTTAACATTAGTTCAGTTTTTACTAAAATCTATATTCCACCATTTTGTCTTTTTCACTTGTTAGTGTAAACCTATGTCTCCAACATTTTTGCAGTTTTAATGTCTGTGCTATTTAACTGTGATCACATCTAATGGTGCTTTATTGTACCTTGATTTTATGACGTCTCCGTACCTATGTTCGGTGCAGTAATAACTCGTATGAGCTAATGTTCTTTGTTTATATCTAAGAGACATTATACAGAGTTATGTATATGTTATATTATTCCAAAATATAATTCCACCTGGAACTCTTGCTTTCAGATTAGTCTCTTTAATTTGTGTCTCGCGAACTTTGTTCTCAACTTCATATGGCGTGAGTCTGATATCACGATACACCTAAATGTAAATCCATTATCAAGATATTCTATATATGATCTTTCAATGTCAAACTCAACCACGTGTACATCAACCAATGGAAAGTCAACACGTTCAACAATGTTTCTATTATAGAACTAGACATAGTTTTACCTCAAGGTCGAATTCGAAGGTCACAAAAAAAATCCACTTTAAAAAAAATGTAAAAAATCTTTATGTCGGAGAGTCTCGTCAATATAAACATGAGGTTGGAATACAATCAGTGTTGTTTTGACAAATGTGAGAAATATAGACCAAATGTAAAGAATAAATAAATGCCTTTAAATACGCTGAAAATAATGTTTATGTAAATGTAATGTAATCAATACCAGTTTTTAATCGTGTTGTGGATTAAATAACTGTTTTCGTGAAATTCTAATGGTTTCTGCTTGTATTTCAATGTCATCAACTGATGTATACAGTTGTCGGTGAATCATGGCATTCATATTGATTATACATCATACTTTAGTCAATGAGGTTCGCGTTAATCTTCATGCCACGAGTTGATCCATCCGAATACTGGTATGTTTAAAATTATGCAAAATGTCATTTAAATGACAATCTTAGGTTATCAGGTGTATGAAAACTACGAAATGTTTTGAACCATAGGGCCAGTGCACCTTCCCATTTAGGTTTGGACTTTTTTCGATCCTAGGCTTCAGTATTAAGGCTCTTAACATCACCGACGAGTCCGGAGAACGAAACAGCCATATGATGCAGTTTAATACATTGTTTGGCTCTACTGTATCTAACTCTGAATTTATATTAAAAAGTGCTCTTTACTTGTGTGTCTTTTGTACACAGTCGTCACTGAATTATGGCATTCACATGTATTTAAATGATTAACGTAGTTATTGTTTAAACGTTTACATCTTTTATACAATGAACTGTCTTTTCCTTTTCAAGCACACATTTTATTGTCTGTGAAATAGAAGTTATATGGCTTCAATACTAGAAATACTTTTAATAAGCAACGACCATAAGTACATTAATCACCTTTCGTGGAACTAACGGCCAAAAACGAAATGAAAATACATCTTTAACAAGTAGAATATATTCAATTAGTTTCACTCCTGGCTGCTTTTAATGATGAATAGTGCTTCCTCCGAAGCATTAATGGTGTTATCATACGGGAACACCATCCCTAACATGAACTCTCGTGGTATTGTTGTGTTGTCAATTTCTTTATTTTGGAATATGATAGAGAAAACTTATTTGTGGTGTTTTGTAACAACTGTAAGTTTAGCTGTATAACATCACTATATTGGCTAGAAGTTTCTTATTTGTGGTGTTTTGTAACAACTGTAAGTGTAGCTGTATAACATCACTATATTGGCTAGAAGTTTCTTATTTGTGGTGTTTTGTAAGTGTAGCTGTATAACATCGCTAGAAGTTTCTCTTTGTGTTTTATTTGTAGTACCAACTGGTGAAGCCATGTATCACCCCGAGGTTTGCTATAAGTTGCTGCATGGATTTAATGAAACAGCTTGGACAGTTGGCGAGGTCTCATCACCTTCATGTACAGGTATCGTCATGTTGCTTCTTTAAACTGCAAATGGATCAGTTTTACTACTAAGCAATATTTTGACATCAGTAGTTTTAACAGATTCTTATTGTTTTAAGAATTATTTCGTAGTCTTGTAGTGAATTAAAAAAAAAAAACAATGTTACAGACAACGATTTCCTTATCGTTTTTCATCAATAAGATGGCTGGTTTCAAATGAAACTGAATTCTAACAGTAAATCAATTCGCTTTCCAAGCTTAACAAACTAATATTGATTTAATTTGTCTTGACCGAAAAAATGCATTGGCGGGAGACGTCGCGACAAACGCTATCTAAAACATTAATTTTATTTTATATGATAAAAACGTACGATGTAACAAAATCGATCGTTAAAAACTTAATATAAATGGCGTCAAGAGAGAGAGGGGGGACTCAAATAAATAAAGGAAACGTTTAAAATAGTTCAATCTTTCACATGATACAAGATTGTATACAATATTTGAAACTCTCTCTCTCTCTCTCTCTCTCTCTCTCTCTCTCTCTCTCTCTCTCTCTCTCTCTCTCATATATACACAATTTATTTTACTGCATCCTACAGACCCATATATGTGAGACAAGGGACGAATGTACTATGGTTCAGAAGCTCTACCCGGAGAGTAAATCTTACACGGACGTGTACGAACAGGCTGGTCTGCTTACAAAGAAGGTATGAAACCAAACTTATCAAATTACGTAATTATACTGGTGTGTTGTATAGATTAGTTGGCTGTATCGTTCATCTAGTTATACTGAAGTGTAGAGTTATATGTAGGTAACATGTGTATAAAAGATGTAAAGAAATAAGAACGTTTAAAAAAACAACATCTTACAGATACCAGGAAAATCAGCGTAATATTACATTAATTACATAACATCTCAACAATAACCTTGAAATATTTTTAAGTTCAGCTAAAATCGGAAAAATCATGGAAAGTCAGTTAATGTACGCCCAATAAAGTAAAACAACGTTACAAAACATAAATAAAAACCATTGATTTTACCGAGGACATATCTAAACTCTACACAGAAATATCAAGTCTTAAATGTCATCACGAAAAACAATCGAAAAATTCTGGTTTTCCTCAGTCGCAGCCTAGGTTTCAATGTTTAGGCCCTTAACATCACTGACGCGTCCTTAACGGGCGATTATGATGCTGGATGATGCAGTTAGATTAATTATATACTGCTTCTAAAGTCTAAATTTGAATTAAATCGTTTATTTGTTTTGTACAATCCCTTTACATGTTACTTTATTTATCTCTTCATTTATTACCATTGCTTGAAGAACAAGCCGAAATGAAGTAACACGTCTAGTGAATACTGACGACAACCTCTTTAAAAGCAATACATATATCATAAATGTCATTCCACAATTACCATAACTTTGCCCTCTGTAAAATCATTTGATCATTCAGTGTCGTTTTGCATTAACTGCTTTGTTACTCGATCCACTGTGAAATTGGATAGATTCACGATTCGGCATGGTGCATGTAGTCTCATTTACACTGCGTCAGCAATGTTGGTGTCTGGTAGGTTATATTTAGAAACGGGCGCCTGATCATCACGTGATTTCTTCAGTACGTAAGCACACATTCAACTGTATGAAATTTCTTGATTTATAAGTATCAGAACGCAATCTGTATATGTCGCCGATGTGTTTTACTTTGTAGTTAAAACGATTAATGAAGGGAATCTCTGGATTTGTCTCGGGGGTCCTCGCATTATGAAATGCAAATGGAAGTTGTATCTTGTATATTGCAGAATTTCGCTACAGAAAGATGATTTTGATATAAATTTTTCGTTGAGTAATTCGTCCCTATTTGTGTTACTTTACTGTTGATCTTAATGTTTACAGACTGTGCTTGCTCATGGCATATATTTATCAAAGGAAGAAAGGGAGACGATCAAGAAACGTCGATCAGGAATATCTCACTGTCCGAACTCCAATTTGTCGTAAGTCTGATATTTCAATGAATATGCTTAATTAGTATACAAATCTCATGAAACTATGGCAACATACCATGGATACTACTTTTATAGGTTATATTTCAGTTGTTATCAAGATTGGTACAAAATGGAATCCAAGAGAAAATGCCTTGGTCACATGGCTTCCATAAAAATACGTCCTTTTTAAATTAAGCTTTCGAAGAAAAATATAAACAATAGAACTAGAGCATAAGATTTACTCGGAGGTTCCTGAAAAAGTACAAGGAGAATAAAATAAAGTGTTTCGGAATAGTACGCGTCTTCTGCTTCATCGACGACACCTGCCATGGAAATCTTGGTCAATCCAAGTAAGTAATGTCATGTTCTCAAATGAGAAAAAAATATATTCAACAAACGAGCACCAAACGCGCCCAACATCATATAGCACAAAGAAACAGACTATTTCTAATTGAGACCACTTTAGCTTTCCCATTATTTCATCAACCAGCATCATTTAAAACCCTGTAATGAGCTTGATTGTCAGTTGACGACAAACCTCGTGAAACAATAAGCCCATTTAACTTGAAGCTATTGGTGAAACCTTGTGAAAAAATCCACTCTTTTTATATCAACTTTTTTTGTAAAACCTCGGAAATTTGAACCATCACAAACAAAACTACGTTTGCAGTATTGCACAGTTGGTAATTAAGAACAAGAGAAAGAAAAGGCAAAGAAATATTCTGAATATCTATTGATACAGATCCTTAATGCCATTCATTACAACAAATATTTGTTCTGTTTTCTCAAGAATCCGAAGCGGTCTTCTTGATGTCAAGGGCTGCTTTGAAGATGATATCGCTGTAGGTTTGGGTACAGGTATGTAGAAGAATCGAGATCTTGTATTTATGTAGCATTAGAAACAAGATACTATTATATTTGTTAAATTAAATGATGCCATACACAGTAGATAACGTTGTGTTTATCCTATTGTAAACTATGTGGAATCAATGAAATGTAATTTTCGATAACCATCAGTTAAAAATATAAAGTGTAACATTTAAACTTATAATTTGACTGCCTACCTTTTACAGATATCTCCGGGGGCTACAGTCCATCTATCATGGATGCTATGAGAACCGCCATCAGTACCTCAAACACTATTGCTATGCAGCGTGGTCCAAGCTACACACCATTGGATTATAAAGATGTGTTCCGAATGGCCACACTGGGTGGCGCCAGAGGTAATACTTTGCAATTTTGTTAAAGAAACTACCTCTTCTGCTATCACGCTCTCCTTCATAAGACCCATGCAAAAAAGACAGGGAAAGAATATACACAATGGATGTCCTAAGAGGTTACTAATTGTGGGGCATCCCTTTGGCAGTTTCTTCGATGCCTTTTATTTAGGGAACGTCGGAGCGCGAAATAATATAAGCAGCTGTATTCTAGGCCTACTGCACGCTCGTCGAAAGCGACTAAAAGTGGCACCTTGCAGAATCAGAGATTTTCTTCTTTGACTTTTACTATGGGACGTTGGAGAGACCCAACCAAAATAGATCAATTGCACTTGTACAATTATTTTGATATTCTGGGTTTTTTTATAACATTTTTTCTCTTTCTTTTTTGTTCACAATTTCTCATTCTTGGTGGCTGTCCTGACACCTGACCTCCAATGGATGATACGTGTATGTTAAGCTCCGTAAATTCATGAAACAAAACAAAACCTTCCGAAACACTAAGAAGTGTATTTGTATCCAACGGTTCTATATTAAATATTTCGCTGACTGTTCTTGAAAAGTTTCAACAATGTATACACGGATATTTAAAATTATGTTATTAAGAAAGGTGAGAAACGTTCCATTCAAGTAATTTCATTTTGAAAGTACTATTCATGTCTATGTAAGAAGCGTAGGTTAACGTTTAAATGTATCACTGTATTACCATGTGTGACAGGATCAGTAATATGTAGTTGTTAATTCCAGTGTTGGACATGGATGACATTATCGGTAACTTTGAGGTTGGGAAAGAATTCGATGCCCTTGTTATAGACCCAAAGGCAGCAGGCAGTGTCATTGATGTGTTCGAGAATGACTCTATTGAAGATGTCATACAGAAATTCGTCTTCCTCGGTAAGTAAAACACGATAAATATCTTTTTTTTAAAAATACAAAATCATTCTACACACTCAGCAATTTGTATTGTTGGTGGGTGAATCTAAAATTTCACGTTCACCGTTGGCCACATTTATATCAATCTGCGCTACATAACACACCATATCTGTGATTTGTATTATAGAATCGAGGATGCATGTTATCTTGGCGAAAAAGTTTTTGTATAATTGTATAATTTGTAGATTGACGTTTTATTCATCTTGTTATTCACGTTTTATAGATATCTTACATCAGGTTTTTAATTTGTGAGAAAAAACAGTGAAAAAGATATCTAGTATTCACAACATCGGAACTTACAAATTTAATATGAAAAAATCCCAATTGGTAAAATAAATGGCAATATATTATCTTATCTATTGATTATTCTGTTTAAAGATAGTTTTGTCTCTTTAATGGTAACAATATTTGAATGAATATACACCACATATGAATCTACATGTCTCTGAGTGATTAAGTGTTGTCAGCTTCAAATCTTACATTTACACAGGTGATGACAGGAACATCTTAAAGGTATTTGTTGCGGGACGTGACCTGTCAGAGAAATCCTGTGTCGAGCCGTTGAATATTTCATAACCTAATCAGTCTAGCATTCCATTGTGAGGAATCACCAGAACGGTGTATTTGTTGTTTCCCGAAGTTTAAAGATATGTACTCAAAACTACATTCTTTAAGCAACCTTGACCTACGGAACTTCCGCAATACTTGATCAGAATAAAGCTGTCTATCTATTGGATATTTGATTGGAGAATAAACAAACCTGTAGATACAAACAGGTATAAGTTACATAATACAGTTTCAATGTTCAAAGGAATTAAAACAGTGTGTGCGGATTATTGCAGACAACGTGGATTAATAGTCCATCAGTAGTGTCTACCACCTGCAATCCCGCATATTGTGCACCCTATTCTCCTATGCTTCTTTTGTACACTATTTTGACACGAACTGGCGCCACCATTGCCGTAATATACCTGCCATATATACATTTATTCAGAGAAGGAAAACAGCTGTATTTTAGCACGTGCGTTAATTCGACAGAACTACTTTCTGAAATAACTTAAAATTACATCGAAATATGCGGTTTTATGTGTTATCATTAACAGGGTTATAAACAAAACTTCATAAAATCGCTGTCACGTGCAATGAAGTTTAGAACTATATTTCTGCTCGGAGCAATTGTTTTGGCTTACGCCATCGGACAAAAGCCAGGTAAACATAGACATAGTTTTGGTTTCCAATCAACGTTGCAGGATAAATAGGATAAATGGCTCGCCACTTCTTCTTCATCTTCGCCAAAATACAGCTTATCTCATAAGACACTAGCAGGGTACATGTTATACACTTTGCGTATGTTGTAATCATCTTATAGCCATATCTAAGATTGTTACGTAAATACCTTATACATTATTTAGAGTGTTAAGATAAATAACTGGTTTATTGGTTAATAATGTTAAAATATATATCTGGTTTGCTGGTTAGAGTATTAATAAAATAGATACCTGGTTTAATGGGTTAAAGTGGAAATAAAATAAATACCTGGTTTATTGGTTAACAATTTAATCAGAAAAATACCTGGTTTATAGGTTTAGATTCTTCAGATAAATATCCGATTAAGTGGTAAGAAAAATGCCTGGTTTATCGATTTAGGGTGGTGAGAAAAATACCTGGTTTCTTGGTTTAAGATGTGAAATACATTTTTCCTGTTTGATATGTGTACTAATTCCCCACCCTTATTCGACTTACAAACATTCTCTATTTCCCTTCTACCGACCTATATTTACCCATCTCACTTTACCCGCTTTACCTTCTCTTTTGAGTAAACGAATTCACATTTTGTAATTGTCTTTCACATTCTGTTAGAATTAACCAAATGATCAGTTTATGACTTTATTTAAATTGGCTTAAAGAAACTACGTCAAATTTCTAGTCTGAACTGCTTTTCTGAGGTTATTTCTTAAATTCTACTCCTATCTGTAACCGTTCCTTAATCTTTATTAATCTTAACTCTTCACACTTGGCTTTCAGTATGATCTGCTTCTCTGGGTTCTTTCTTAAATTCTACTCCTATCTGTAACCGTTCCTTAATCTTTATTAATCTTAACTCTTCACACTTGGCTTTCAGTATGATCTGCTTCTCTGGGTTCTTTCTTAAATTCTACTCCTATCTGTAACCGTTCCTTAATCTTTATTAATCTTAACTGTTCACATTAGACTTTCGGTATGTAGGACACGGAAATGGAAAATCATAACATGATATGTTCTACTTCGCATGAAAACCATACAAATTTCTGATTGTTAAAAAAAAGATGTGAAAAGAAATACCCGGGTTATTTGTTTAGAGTGTTGAGAGAAATACTTGATTTATTGGTTTAGAGAGTAAAGAGAAATACCTGGTTTATTGGTTTAGAATGTTCAGATAAATACCTGGTTTATTGGTTTAGAATGTTCAGATAAATACCTGGTTTATTGGTTTAGAATGTTCAGATAAATACCTGGTTTATTGGTTTAGAATGTTCAGATAAATACCTGGTTTATTGGTTTAAGTGCTAAGAGAAATACCTGGCTTATTGGTTTAGTATGTTGAGATAACTTTCATGTTATTCTTTAATGTTTTTACACTAAGAAATGTTGCCATTGTTGTGTTATTTGTTACTCACCTTGTTATTTTTATTGAACTGTATTTGTATACCAGTAGATTATATATGCAACTTTAGTTCGGACCATCTACATTGTTATGAATTGTTACAAAGAATATTTACATATATTGTAGTATATACATATTGTTGTTATGTCTTTTTTTTATAGTTTATTGTAACCGTCGAAACCGGTGTCGTTAGCAGGAAACAGTTAATTTGCATTTTCCAGAAATTCCGAGAAACTGCGTTTGTTACCATGACAGTATTGTTGAGATTAAGATAGTTCAGGAATGAATTTTTTTCAGTGTTAGGTTGGAATTAGCAGCAATTTTGCATTTTAAGCATTTTTTCAGTTGGTAACTCTGGCAATGACATGTCAGAAATCAGAGGACATTTTTTATTTAAACAATTTTAATCTCTCTACTATAAAAGTAATTAACGTAGTTATGTAGTTTATAAATATATAGACATGTAATGATGTATTTTTCATAACCAAGATGCTGTACCTGCATAATTCTAACAGGATAATTTCAGGGAAAATGCAAATTAATTGTTTTCTGCTACCTATGTATTCAGATTTTGCTATAAAGGTTCTGTTGATCATGTAAATATCCACGCTACATATTCCACATTATCTATAAATAAGTGAAGGTCTAAACAATGTCCACGCTACATATTCCACATTATCTATAAATAACTGAAGGTCTAAACAATGTCCACGCTGCATATTCCACATTATCTATAAATAACTGAAGATCTAAACAATGTTTCTGACTACATTCTGGGTGTAAAAATTTACTCCACAATTATTCTTTGGTGGGATTTTTATATGAATACTCTCAATCCGCGAATTCATATATCGACGAAAATACATATACATTTATTAAGCTACATTTATCCACGAAATGAGTATAAAACATTGTAAGACCCACTAAAATACGTGTTTTTACAGTAAATGATGTTTTAAGGTACCAATGAACCATTCATTTGGATCTCCATAAAATGCTATTAAAGTTGTTCGTCAAATTTGTTAACTCCTTAATTATAGTAATATTTATTGATTTCGATATGAATATGAAAAGCTACTATCGTTTCAACCCTATACACTTTTCTAGTGATTACTTTGAACTGAATACGACGTATAATGGTTTTCCGAGAAAAGAGAAGAGTAATCTAGCATCGGATTATAGTGCATTAAACACCAGTTTATATGTTATATAGTTCCGAAAGTTTATTTTTTTCATAACATATTTTTGTTAACCGAGTAGAGAGTGAAAAAAATCCAAACATGTCCATGAGAAGATGTAACCAAACTGGAAAGGAAAATGAGTGTTGCCTTAATGACATGAATGAATGACGCACGTAACTCGCTATACCCTTAATAGGCTGGCCTGAGTGTAGATGTACTTTTACTTACTGATGAAGGTACAGATATACTGTTACAGATACAAGACAGTCCTGTATATATTCACTTAATAGTTATTCAGAATATTTGGGTTATATTATGGTTTCGATGTTATATGTTTGTTATTTATTTTATTTGAACAATTACGAAATCATGACATGTTTATCTAGCCTGACGAAAAAGCTTGTATGTACGATACATCGAAACATGATCACTTTGACATGTATAATTTGTGACATCCTAGGTAATACGTTAATGTTTTCTTTCATTAAAATATTCTACAAACTACTATCATATTAACTGTTTTGTCTAATATCAACGCACCACTGAGTTTCTCGTTCTTCTTATTATCAATACATAAATGAGATCATGTGATCAGTCAGGTGAACACATACCTTCCACTGCACGAGTGTGAATTTGAATGGATTTGTGCATTATAATATATCTTGTCGAGGTACCCAGCCATATCATATTGCGTCCTTCTGCCCGACAACCTTTACATACCTAATGACACAGAAAAAAATGTGCAGGCGATGTAGAATGTCTGTCACCTCAATTACCAGTTTAAGTACCTCATACATCTGATGTGCTAACTAGGACCCGTGTATGAAAGCAGACTTAAAATGGGAACATTAGTCAGAACAACAGTGCACCTAATGAACCTACAGTACAAACAGTGGCTGTAAAATCAACGAAGTTTGTCAAAATTCTAACATCTGATTGTACACCCTGTTGTACAAGTCCACTTTATTAAACATAACCAAAATGCTGCAGAGACGTTTGTCCTAGAAATGATACACTGTTTTTATCAATTTTCTCCAGCAGGACATAATATATTTAAATGCAGCCGTGTCTAAGAAATTGTAATATATATACATCAACATGTTTCTTTATATTGGCCAAAGGATCAGATGACACATGATACAGCGGTCATGGTAAAATAAATATTCCCAGCTGAGCTTCGAACCTCCATCCATAATCAGTTCTTTGTTTAAAACTATGTGGTTACAAAAATAGTTTATAAGCAGCTAAACTGTGGATAATCCGGCAGTAGTTTGCTACTTGAAAAGCAGCCGATGAATTTCTGGAGCAGTTTCTGAGTCTTTGAGAAGCTTTGCGATACTGATTTTTTCAAACGCGCATATGATTTAGTGCATGATCTCACATTTCAAACAAAGTGGCAGCTTTCACGAACAGACATTGAAAACCGTGAAATTTGATGGCAAACATTTCGGCAAGTAAACCTTGTACAATATTCTTGTGTGGTCAGATCATCCACTTTAGTCAATATGTACTCGGATCAGTTGTTGTATGGTCGCTAAGGTCATTGACATAAACATTACTTTCATATATCGTGATGTTCCTGATGCCATGCGGTCCGTCTTCAGGTGGATCCACTATACTTGGTTGTTTCGGCGCTGTCCACTACAACCTCCAGATGTGCGGCGACTAGGGTGATCAAACCCCAGCCTGCAACTATCTCGCCTGTGTCATCATGTACAACTGCTGATGTTGTCACAGTTCTCTTGTGATTGATGTTAATATCATTAAATAAATGAACATACCTTACCCCAAATAACAAAGTTTACATTGGAGTGATTCTAAAGCGTCACATAACACTACTTTGATGCCCACGATTCTGTCCGCTTCATCCACAGTCTCACTGATGCTGACTCTGCTCGCTAGCATACTGAACCAATCAGATGCTTTCTGTCTTTCCCGATGACACCTATGTTCCTCCTGACCTCCCACAACGACTAACCGGCAAATCCTCTGCAGCCAACCTCCACAGGGAAGGACCATACCCTCCAACCCTACTAAGGGCAATCATCAACTGGATCCTGATATTTTGCCTTCTTCTTCTCGAATGCCTCCCCCGTACGTTCTTCCCATTCCACAATGATGGCCGTTTTGGTTATTGCAGACCAGAGTACCATGTCTGGTCTCTAGTTTGAAGTTTTGATTTCCACTGGGAATTTCTGTCGTTCAGATCTGCCTTCATCTGCCATTCCCCCGCTGTTGCCATGATCTTTGTTTCCCCTGACTCTTCGGTTTCCAATTTCACCTGCTTGAATGAAATTGACAAACTTGGATCCTTTTTTGCTTGTTTCTTCTTTGCACCTTCAGTGTTGTTGCAAGTGTAAAGCACTTTGTCATGACGCCAGGTGTATCGCTCATCCCTCAGAGCCACTGGGCATCATGATATGATAGACATCAGGTTCGCCACTCTCTAACACAAGACACACACAAGATCTTCACTGAGACCCCATGTACAATTTTCGTGAGGCTGGGCAGAACACCATACACAGATCCCAGAAGAAATCTGATGCGTTTCTCCTCTATGGCCTAGATTTTACTCCATGAGAGATTCCTCTCTCGAATCCCCGTCAGTTTAGCCAACTTTCCTGTTTCTTTATGCATGCTATCTTCATCATTTACTTCTCCTCTTCCGTTGCCCTCATTTTTTCTGCACCAGTTCTCTCCATTGTTCTGCCCTGCGTTACTCTACATCTGTTTTGTCGATGTTCCCAGTCCTTTGCTGCTAACTGCTATACTTCCCATGACGTCCCCATGTCGAAGCCTCGACCCTGCCTCTTGGATTGTTTTGTCAGCTTTCAACTTCCTTCCGGTCTTAATTTTCACCTCTGTATCCCTGACTTTACATCTTTGCTGTTCTGCAGTAAGAGAGGTTGCCTGACCTTGGTCACCTTATGTTCCTCAGTAAGATATTTCAGAGGAATATTCAGTTGGTACCTTCTCTTTACAAGCCGATGCTGCTAAAGCCTCATGGTACTCGATCTGTGTAGTTTGTCAACACACGTTCCATCTTCCCAACTGATGACAAAAGTGCATCATACACCAGAATTGGCCATATTATCCGTGGAAGCACACCGTTTAGGAAAATCCAAGCCTCGAATCTTCCAGGTAGCACGCTCCTTTCTATCATTGTCATCCGTTCCTTGCTTGTTCGAACATAGATACAACATTATCTCTATTAGCTAGCGAGTTGTCAAATTGTTTTCCAATGCACTTTAAGACAGTTGAAATCGTCTTGTCTCCAATCCTGAATTGTCATCCCTCAGTCTTGGTGGCTATCGTCATATCATTCACGAAGGCCTGTGTTGGTGGTTGTCATATACCTGAAGCCATGTATGGTCCTCGGCTCAGCTTTTCGACACACTTCACCACTAAATTAATAACAGTAGAGAACAAAATGACAAATATTGTGCATCCACTGACGAGTCCGACTTCCAAGCGCTGTATTATTATATAAGTACTTACTTAATTATTTGTTTTGTTTTGTTTTAGTGTGTAGTTTACATGTTTTGATTTCATATGTCAAACTTAAATGGGTATATACTTTCAATTACATCTTGTCATACAGAATGCTGACCAGCTACGGATGTCCTTCACTGAGACTTACATGTACTGCTATTATGTAATGAATTTACTGGTACACCTGAGGGCACTGATCACAGATAAAGGATAATTACAATAAGGTGTCACATGTAACTCTTCAGGTTGTACGTTTGAGATATTTTATATACATGTAAACAGGTAGTCAGGAAATACATTTATAATCCTATTCTTTATTTCATCTTGAGATATACACCTCACCGATGCAAAGGAAAAAATATCATGTTTACAATCATGAAAGGACGTTTACAATTTAAATACATTGAGTTTTATATATTAGACATGCAAATCATACCTCTTCAAAGTCAAGAAAGTAGACCATTGTCGTTATTAAAAATGTTTAGGAAAACCACGAATTTATATCGTCATGATGTATATCAGTCCTTGGGAAACTTGCAACATTAAAGTGTTTTGTACTTTAAAGTTAAATAAATCCTGTGTTATGCATGATAGAATCAACACTCGTTGGACAGGTCTTACCACGTATTTAAAGAAACTATCTAATATACAGATTGTTAGAAGCTTTCGAGACGTAAGTTTTCATTTCGAGACAGATAATTAAATAATGCACGCATAATTTAGATGTACTGAAATGCTAATTCTGCATTATCACATTACTTGTCTGATACTTTAGCATTTTTCAGTAAAAGCCTAACAGCAAAATATATCTCTAGTAAGCAAATTATTACGTAACCTACATCTATAATAAAATTTGTTTAATACAATGTATCTTTCAAATGAAGACACTGAACCAAATGCTACATTTCACACTACCCGTGTAAATTCTCTATTTATATATGTAGTTAGATAACAAGTACATGTTAAATGAATAAAATCCTGAGTCGTCAATAGCTTTAGTTTTTATCTGATGACATGTAATTTTTATGACTTCTAGTTTTTAAAGATCTATATATGTGTGTGCTTATCTTCACTACACTAGTATGAAACAAGAGGTGCTTGGCCTTAACGGTTATCTGAATATAAAGACCTACATATGAAAGAGGCCAAATAGGCCTAAAGGAAATTGATCAGCTACTCTATGACTTACATAGAAGACATTGTTAGTTCATAAAGACATGTTCTGTTATTGCGAAGAAGCATTTCAATACATTTAACCCTTGTGACCTTGAAAGTTTGTCCAATATCAGCACCCTAGGCCTTTTGATTATTGAGAAGAAGTCGTTTTGACATTTTAACACATTTAATACTCGTGACCTTGAAAGTGGGTCAATGTCATTCATATTAACAAAGTTGCTAACCCTACATCCTAGCATGCTACAGGCCTAATATCATCTCTCTGGGCCTTTTGGTTATTGAAAAGCGTATCCAGATAATTCATATTAAAAATTGATTCCCAACTCTCTATGGTGTTTTAGACTAATTTTGGTTAAAATCCATTCAAACATTAAGAAAGAGTCGCTAGGGGTCGGAATTTAAGAATAATTCTCCACTCTCAATGATGTTCTACACCAAATTTGGTTGAAATCAATTAAGTATTAAGAAAATATAGCATTTTGAAGCAAAACATGGACTACTTTTCCCATTTGGGACTCCGCCTGACCCCAGGTCCCTAGGGTCAAATCAACTTTCTGAACTTAAGAATAGATTCTCCGCTCTCATTGATGTTTCACACCAAATGTTGTTGAAAGCTATTCAAGCATTCAGAAGGAGTAGCTGTTTTGAAAGCAAATACTGACTAACTTTCTACGAAACCTATACGCAATAAGGCTTCACTTTTGATTGTGTACAATATAATTTAAATGATCATAAATCATGTTGACTTTTGAATACGCTTATAGTTTTCCACACAGCAGGAATCTAGGTGATGACAGTAATTTATTATTATTATTATTTATTTAAAATTTGGTCTTGTAGACCTAATTAGTTTGGCAGAATCATAGATCGCCGACCCTGGTTCAAGGCGCTCTTATCGGCTAAGATATTAGTCAACAATCTAGGTCTGTTGAGTTGGAGTTGTCTTTCTTTGAATTGACAACGACGGAGATATACGCGCCTGACTTCAGAGATATCGTTGGTTTTCTCTCCTTCCTCATTCCTTCTTACAGAGAAACTGATTTCAACAACAAACAAGAAAGATATGGCGAATGGCAACGTCGTCATCCTCGACGGGGGCTCGGCCACAGAACTTGAACGATTGGGAGAAACGTCCATCAATGTAAGTGTTTTGTCGAATGCGTGCGCATTGACTCAGCATTTTAAACGTTGCAATTAGTAATCGATATCAATAATGTTGATCAGATTTGAGCGATAGGTGCGTATTTATATTCATACAACAACAGTGATGCACAAACACGCTGGTTTCCGCTAATATTTATACGGTCTTCTTAAAAGCGCCGGATTGAACGTAGGGCTCCATAGCTCAGTTGGTTAGAGCGCCAGTCTAGTAAACTGGAGGTCGAGGGTTCGACTCCCTCTGGAGCCTTCTTTTTTTTTTTTTTTACATTAAATGTGTACCACTTAATTTTCGCACAGAATGTAAAATGCTCTGAGCTAGTTGTGTTACCTGGACGAAATCGGTTAAGCCTGAAAACTACAGGATATAGTAGACACTTGTACTATAAGCATTGTTTTATTTGTTTGTTTCCTTGTTTGTTTAGGAGGACCCGTTATGGTCTGCTCGATTAATTCTTTCCAATCCGGAACTTATCAAACAAGCCCACAAGAAGTAAGTGACTTCTACGTGTTTCCTAAAACGCCTTGCGAATATTCCATTACTCATATTGTAGGTTTACTTCATGTTGGATTTTTTTAACACAATAACTACGCTGTTGTCAGTAAAATTATGCCCAATGTGTATATATGGCTATCATTGACTGAAGGTTTCCGTCGTTTCCATTGTAACGTCATAATTTATGGCGTCATCTGCATTGTGACGTCACCTTTCATAGATGGGTTTTGTATTGGTAAAACAAAATTGTATTTTCACTAATGTTTACTAAAGTATCTAAGTTATGTGATGGACAGAATCTTCCATGCGTTTCCATTTCATATGGGATTATGAAACTCGTTATGTTTTTTTTTTTTTTTTACTTCGCCAGAAGCTCGCTAAAACCAAGCATTCTTTCCATTACGTTCATATGTGTGAAAACTTATGTTAGATTCTTTCTATTTCTTCATGTGTCTGTATGATCCTTGAGATCGCTGTATGGCGAGCTGTTCTATGCTGAAATCTTTCATACCACTTTTAAATCACATTCAGCTTTTCGATATTTTTAATGCTAAAGAAGAGTTTAGTCAACGACATAATTTGAAACCGACTGGTCACTTTGAAAAAAATGAAATTACTATAATGAAAGTGTCCATAGTAATAGTTGATAGACACATCCTTGTGATGAAGTCTTATTTATGGACTTAGATCAAACGCTTTTTAACAACATTATAACTGAGTTTTTCTTTTCGTCCATACACTGTGAATGCCACATATTTTATGTCATTGTAGTTTCATCGAAGCTGGATCTGATTTGGTTGTCACGGCAACATACCAAGCTTCGGTGGCTGGCTTCTGTCAGGAGCTCCACATTACTGAGAACGAGGCTGTCCATCTGATGGCTGAAGGCACAAAGATAGCGAGGGATGCGTGGCAGGAAGTTTCAGAGAGCACACGTGCAGGTATGTTTGAGTGATCAGGTGGTTGATTTCGTTCAAAATATTTGTGAGGGAGTACTCTAAAAACGAATGTTTGTTACATTTTCGTTTACATCCCATAGTGGCACATATTTGATTGTTTTTTTCAAGAAACATTATCATGAATTTATCATCTTAAATGAGCTTCCAAGTCATTTCGGATTTTTCTTTTCTTTTCCATTCTTTTCCCCCCATATTATTGAACTATTCAATGATTTTTTTATCATTTCCTTTCTTAATGCTCCTCGAAAATTGGTATTGTCCTTTGTAAAAGTTTCGTGTCAGGAGCATAACCTTACTTTTATCGAGAGCAAAATAATGAAACTTATGTATACACTAGTCATATTAAGACGACGTTCAGTGTACTAGATTCAGGACCCACAGTCCTTTAATTACAGTTATTGCATAACTTCACTTGTATTTTAACAAAGATAATGAAAAATGTATATACATTTGTCATCCGGTAGTGTTATGTACTTAATTCAGGGCATGTAATTCTGTATTACAGAGTCATTGACCTATGTTAATTTTGTTTGGAAGATAACTTTACTTTCATTTAAGATAGGATAATGAAACTATGTCTGTTCATTAGTTATAGTAAGATGATGTGCAGTTTACTAAAATTATGGGCCCGAAACCCCTTAATTACATAATTATTGCCGTTTGTTGAAATTTTGTACCCAACAAAATTGCTATCGGGCAGCATTCATCAGTCTCACTGATATTCTTGGTTTAAACAATATTTTATTTTCAGATTTTCATTTACAACATACACATACACAAATTATAAAATTGAAAATGGATCTGGCAACAAGATTATAAATCTTATATCAAGCCATCTCCAAGATATTCTTGTTATTATTATTACTTTTTTTTTACTATTATGATGCCTTGGGATGTTATTTTGCAAGTAGATATATATTGAAATCGTACAAATAAGGGCTATAAGAAAACAATGTATTGTTGGATTACAAGCCGAGGCAGCGTTCAGGAATTGTTTATGAGGATTTGTGTTATTTGATGTTTCAAAATAAAAATATGACAGGTGTCCTTACCATTCATGAGTTGTAAAATGTCCGATTTTTTAGTGTTTTGTATTTCGAAAAGAATTAACATAAAAAACGTAAAGAACCCAAATCCGTTTCTCAAACAGAAATCGTTTGTCATACCCGCAGATTATTGAGTGTGGTTTTGACATAGGTGTCTGCTGACTGAAGATTGGTTTTCAGGCTGGATTGTTAAGAATAATTATTTCCAGCGTAGTTTAGAATTCTTGCCTGCTGTGAAAAATTATTGATCGTTATAATAACTAGTATTCTAGCTGTGGAGAATTAGTGTTTACTATGGTAGAAAAGTAATCTTGGACCTCCGAGGAGTTATATTCCAATGATGACAGGTATGGCAAGGTTGGTAAGGAAAACAAGCCAACAAGACAAGGACTGAGCAGACATAGTTAAAAATAGGGATAGGAAACAAAACACGAAATCGTCTATATACTGCTGAGGTATAATTTATATATCATTTTGAGTCGCCTTGGTATTTTATTTTTAACGATTAACAACTTTGTAGTTCGTTACATTGTGTTATGACAGGGAGAAAGTGCTGGGTGGCTGGTTCCGTGGGACCCTATGGAGCCTTTCTACACGACGGATCAGAGTACACGGGTGCATACATGGACAAAATGTCTAGAGAGGTAAACCTCAGTGGATGCTTCTAATTTGTCAACTGATCATTTGATAACCTGAATCTGTCTGTGTTTACATCATCAACCCTTAAGGGACATAAGCTTGCATCTATTTGACTCCATGAACTCATGAATTTTGCTAATAATCAAAGGTTTACTTCGAAGTCCCTCTCGAGTCTTCCTACTTTCCTATATATTTTTCGGAGTGTTTTATCAGATTTCTAACGGTTTTATGCTTTAAAAATCGACCATTTTGTTTCTTGACACATACAGTGTATTTCGACATTTACCATAAGATATATTTCATTAGTATCTAAAGCAGATGAACGAGGATGAAATCGTGGGAAAGATTTAGTTTCTAGTTGACAATCGTTTCGTTGATGTGCCCAGTTTAGGAACGCGACAGAACTTACTTCGATTGACCAAGATATTAACAGGACAGATGTTATTTAGGAAGCAGAAGACGCTAATCTTTTTGGAATCACTGGTTTCATTCTTGTAATTTTAATAATATATTTGTATATTTTTCGTTTGTTTTCTTTGGCAGTCGTTTCACCGATTACGAGCTTGGATAGAATAATAGCAGCGGCCAATATGCTTATAAACGTTAAATACAGACAACTAATTTGAACTGTTGCATCTTTCCACTCAGGACCTCACTGAATGGCATCGCCCTCGTGTCAAAGCTCTATTGGACAGCAAGGTAGACATCCTTGCCATAGAGACAATTCCGGCCACAGAAGAGGCTGACGCAGTGCTGGACGTCCTCCAGGACTTTCCCGAGGCCAAAGCATGGGTGACATTTACCTGTAAGGTATGGTGTTGAGTTATGTGTATAAAATGAGAGATTGACTTTATGTATTACCAATCCAGTACCGCTGCCTTATAACTGTTATGTTATGTGTTAGTCCCAGAGAATTGCCGTAAACCTGCAACCCAATTTTTTTTTGTTTTTACTTTAATAAGCAGTTTGATAATAGCACAATACAGAATTTGAATTAAAGGGCTCTTACACAATATACAATAAAATAACAATCATATACATATCTTGTACAATGTATCGTGTACCATCCAGGACGGATGCAGCACTTGTCACGGAGATATCTTCTCAGACGCCATCGAGGCCGTTGCTAAGCGAAAAGGCGTCGAAGCTGTGGGTGTGAACTGTACTGACCCTCAATACATATCACCGCTTCTAAAAAGTATACAGCACCTAAATCTCCAGATACCAATCATTGTCAAACCTAACAGCGGTGAAGACTGGGAAAGGGGAAAAGGGTGAGTAGTGTTGGGGAGCCACCATCGTTTGGTGTCGGTTGTAAAGAGGCCAGGCATTGCTATACAAACAATAGAGAAAGTCATAACATGTCAACATAATCTTAATTCAAACTCAAATCAGATAAAGCTACGGTAAACTGTGGAAAAAAGATAGATTTACACTGAGACTTCATAAAAAAAAACACAAAATGATAAGACCACGTGTTCTGGAAGAGTAAGCGTCTTCTGGTCCTTAAACGACAACCGCCATGTAAATCCTAGTCAATTCAAATAAGCAATGTCACGTTCCCAAAATGAGAACAAGCTAAAAAAAAACAATATCATTATTCAGGAATGAGGTACCGCGAATTTATCTTTATTTCAACACTTTTATTTACAAAATTGTCAAGAATAGTAACCAGCAAAGTGTTTGTAAATTATCTCCATAGAAAGACCATAGTAGATATAATATTAATTGATAATTACACAAGATAAGAGAGAAACCGGGGAAGTCAATGAAGTATAAACGACTGGTCATAGCAAATGAATGTGACAAGTGGAAGGATCGATCATTGTTGCTTTTATCATCATGGTGACTGGGAGACAACAGTAAAGCTGACGAATGTCGTTTACGTTAGTGACTGATTATTACCTGTATTAATATTTTGTCAAATTTACAATATCAAACATGATATGTTTCAGCTTCTATAATAGAGAAAAGTGTGTACCGGTGGTCTCATTGGTAACTGAGTGGAGGGAACTTGGTGCTACATGGATCGGAGGATGCTGTCGGATATTTCCGTCAGAGATCGCCGACATTAAAAAGAAACTACAAACCTGAACAATTGTTGATTATTTCTATGACGACGTCATGTTTGAGGTGTAGTAAAATGTCATACCAATAAAACTGTTTATTATAGTGAATGTTATTATCTTATACGTGTTCAGGCGACGTGAGGGGGCGACCTACATCCCCTTCAGATGTGTGGAACCGTCTGAAGCGCTGAATATTTGATTATGCTAGTTTTAGAAGACGGCTCCAGGGCCTAACGCTGGCTTATCCAAACTCTAGCAGTTTGAAACATATCCAGAAGCTGAACGGAAGAATTGGGAACATACATAGATTTGTTTTAGGTTAGGGTGCTTTTGAAGTCCGTTAAATGCCTTAGAAACAGTCGTATAGCCTTGGACAATTCATTACTGACCGGTGTTATCTTTTTTTCTCTCTCGAAAAGCCACAGAGGGATCTTTAGCGTGCGAGAGTGGACAGTTCTCACACGGGGAATTCAATGAATTGATGAAATGTATATGACGTAAAGTAAGTGACATTATACCGAGCACGGTGACAACAAAAGAATTTACCCGAGGGTAAGAGAAAACAATCACTCACCTCTTTGAAATAGGGGATCACGGCCCCCGGGAAAACATAAAGTCTCTAGTCTGCTGACTCAATCATCTTTCCCCTCGGGTGGAGATCCCAAATCCTGCCTCCATGGCAATGAAAGATTTTATTAGTCCGTAGTGATCTGGCGTGGGTAAGTAAATACCGCTTCGTGATACTTCGGCGTGATGACACATTAAAATGAAATTTTAATCTACCTCGGTGTGTGGAATTTCAGCTGACCATTTGACCTGAACTGCTGTAAGTACAAAACATATCAGTGTAAAGAAGTCTACAGAAGGAACGCAATAATTAAAATAAGATTTGGTTTTGAGAGTTTTTGTGACCTTTCGCTGAAAAACTAAACCAGGTCTAATTTCAGTAGAAACGATCGGCTGTCATAGATTGTGTTCTTTGAGCCAAGGATTGTGACTCTAAAAATTGACGACAACAATCTGTATAAATGTTTGGATGTCTCGTAGACATATATTCAGAATCGGAAAAGTACCAGAATCCAGAGCTCGGTTGAAGTAAGTGATGAGCTCGGGGTTTTATTATTTGTTTTCGTGAACCCTAGCAACTGTGCCTTACCAGATCTCGGCTTGAATTTTAGAATGATAGAAATGTATCATGACTACAAGTCGATACATGAACATTACATAGGTGATTACACTATACTAGTATCTTGTACGTGCTATTTAACTGGTTCACAATGCTAAAGGAAGATACGGACCTCCAACGTTTATATTAGATTCCAAATCTTCACAAGAATCAGTAAAGAAATCCATTACAGTATCGACTAGTGTTCAGCCAAACCTTTATAAAATTTTCTGACTACCTGAGAACTGTCACATAGGGTTAGTCCTATTTCATACAGTTTACTCGAGAAATGTAACTAATGGTGCATTTCAAAGAACTCCAACAATCTCTCGTCCATCATCGATTAAGAGTTTGAAATAATAACATCAAGATTTTCTTGATATAAATGTCGATATTTTCTTGTTTTCTTGGATGTGATTGTGAATTCAATAGCCTTGTTATTTGCTGATGATGCGAAACTGTACAGTGACAACAGGAAGAAAATAAATCTGTAAAGATATAAGGATAATCTTCAAGGTGACAGGTGGCTGTTGAAGTTTCACCCTGGTAAATGTCACCATATGAGAATCGGAAGGGATCATATATTCCAAATCTTCATATCTATAAGGACTAGACCGAAAGGGTTAATAGTATAAGTCAGCTGAAGGTACAGAAGGAGAAAAAGAGTAAGGCATTACAGTGGATAACAAGCTTAGTGTTAGACAGCACATCCAGAGTGCAAGACAAAGCAAATAGAATACTGGGAACGATAAGAAGAGCACATACCTGAATAACAGGTCATTTTGTTTGCTGTATAAAGCACTGGTAAGACCTCACCTCGAATATGGAACAAGCATCTGGAATCCCCACCAAATACAGGGTGTTAATTTACTGGAGAACGTACAAAGAACAGCCACGAAGCTGCTACAAGGATAGAATGAAAAAAATATCAAACCTTCCATCTTTGAAATATAGACGTGATCGTGGTGATAGGGTAGAGGTTTTTAAGATTGTGAGAGGATTTTATGACAATTAGGCATCGGCAAATTTGTTCATCAGAAATCATAAGAAAAGGACAAGGGGACACACATACAGCTTGGAGAAAGCAAGATCAAGATTGGACGTCAGAAACTTCTCTCAAAGGGTTGTCAGTCTAGCATCAAAAATAGAGACCATGTTATATAGGTATAAATACTCAATATAGTTCCTGTCTTTTTCACGTGAAATATCTCTCTTACAACTTCTATCTTTTAAATTTAAGAAAAAGACATAGAATGCATCGTGAAAACATCTTAAAAGATTCCTAACATGTTTTTGTTCTTTTACCTAAAATTTGCCGTTTGTTTGAAATTTATTTATGAAGCCAGACACATACATGGTACTATTTAGGTTTTCTGGTGAAGCTAACAAAGCTTTACATAAACGTATTGCGAAATATTGCATTGTGGGATAGTTTCAAACACTGTCGCAATTACTTTCGTGAAAATAACTCATTAATTGTTCGTTTCAATTTTGATGAATGTACAGCTATATGCAAGAGGAATACCGATACGTTTTTGTATAGAAACAATTACAAAATTACGGTAAAACAAATTTGCTCTATATTTTACGACATCCCGATTTGTGGAACTCCCAATCCTGTCGATTTGTTTGATCACGTGACCGTCGCTATCACCACTGACAAACTATCATGGAGGCAGGTCTCGGGGTCACGACAGGTATATCACACTAACACCATGACACATCTAACTTTGGGGTTTTGTGTACCCGTTGTATCATAATAGTTTGTCACACTAGGCATTTTCTATCGTCAGTATAAACTTTGATGGTATTCACGAATGTTTTCACGCGCAAACAGATGAGAAAGTGTTCACTTTTATGGGACGATTTGTCTTCTTTTACTTTGTTTACTTATTGGAGAGTCCATTTTTCTCGTGCACGAGCTATTCTGTTGGCTACCGTGTACTAATATTGTAGAAAATAAGTCAATATTGAAGATATGTAGGCAAATTCATTATTTAGATTGAAGTAAAGAAAATGTCTCTTCCTTTTTAGGTCCTGCTAATGATCAATATCATCACTTCTGTCTGTGTAAATATTTAAGTTCTGTAAGTCATAACCCTAATCATCTTACCGATATCTCATGGACACCACTTTTAAATGGCTTCTATTGCACTCTCAAACAAAGTGTGTGTAGATCTTTTAAACCGTGATATCGCCTTATAGCTACTTATCATACAGTAGTCAAGAACTGTATCCAGCTCTTCTATCTGGTCACTGTTTATTCCATTTCGCTCATAAGATGTACATCTAGACAAGCATTGATATGTTGTTTTATATCTATTTGTATCATTTTAGTTGTGTAAGTATCTTTTTTCTGTTTTGGATAATCCTTTAATTTTTATTTAGTTTTCATACAAGTTTATCCAAGAAAAAGAAAATATTAACCACTTTTCGAGAAAATACAACACAATTCAGTACACATGCAAAATATACAGAAGTTGTTTTCATATATTTCTAAATCCTGTAAAAGTGAAGTTTGTTTGGCTTAAAATTGTGTTACGTTTTTGGTTAAGTTAGCGGCAACTCCATATATTGTGTATAACGTCTTTAATACTGATTCTTCATAATGGAATCAGGTTGTGTAGATTCTGTAAGGAATGAGGATATGTATGTACATTTTCTGTAGACAATTATTTTTTTCTTCATGTTGATCACTGTTGATGAATTTTAGAAATTAAAAAAATGTATCTAAATATTTGATTCAATTATGCTGTGGTATTTTCTTTGTACCAAAGCAGCATAGAATGATGAATGTATTTTGTGTTTTTCCTTGATTTGCATGTTAGGAACGTGGTAATATAAACAAAGAACAGACACTAAACCCAGACTTATGAAACATGGCTTCAAAGAACTTGTCTGATTCTACACCGCTGCCTCCCATAACATCTCGAGTATCTACTGACCCTGAGGCTGACCTGATATCAAACCATGACAGCGACAGTGAGACTGACCTACAACTACAGCGGGCTGGAAGCTCTGCATCTGAAGCATCAACAACATCAGCAGGTAATCTATTACATAGAAAAGTTCTTACAATCAAAGTTACCTGTCAAGTCACTCTAATAATTTATGATTAAGGTCACAAGACTCAGTTAAAAAATTAGTCACTTGTCATGAACAGATAACAAGCGAAATCATGTGACTATAACAGCTAGATAACACTCCAGGTCATGTGACTAATAGTCACATGACAGTTAACAGTTAATCAAATTAGAACAATTAACAAACAAAGTCATGTGATTAGAACAATGAACAATTTAAGTCATGTGATTAGAACAGTAGAGTGTTTAGTCACATGACTAGAACAATCAACCATCAAAGTCATGTGACTAGAACAATTTACAATCAAAATCACGTGACCATAACAGTGAAATTTTCAGTCACATTACTAGAACAATTAACAATAAAAGTCACTCTTAGAAACAATTAGGTCACATGGTTGGATACATTATGTGGTCGATAGCGATGTAGTAACACTGATGGATGGATAATGGTTGGCTGATCTCTACTCATGGTGCTGTATCCAGATAGACGAATCTACATCCAGTACTCCCCATGGATATATTTCCAGTGTTGGTGCATTTTCTATCTTTGTTTGATTTGTTTACATTTTGTGTCTCAGTGCTTGATCTCAACTATACAGCTTTCATTTATTTCATACTTAATAGTTCTTATCATTATGACAGAGATGTTTACTGTCAAGATATTTTAAAGAAATTAGATACAACTGGTATTCCACATGTATTTTGTTTTACTGATAGCATCTTCAGCTGTGCTTGATCAGCCTGGAGAAGGGAAAACCCGTCCAGCTGTTGTTCGAGGATTCAGACGAGAATCTGACGTAACAGACAGAGCTATGAGTCGTGACTCACCAGTCTCTGCCAAACGGGGAGTGACATTTCCATCAAAAAAGTAAGAAATAAAATAAAAGTTGATGTCATCAAATATTCACTTAAAAATGCCTCTATCAGATAAAAGTCGAGTAGGTTTGGATTTAAAGTTTCAATTGGACATGAATTCCACTAAATGTATTTCTGGTATTAAAACATGCTACATCTGCATTCAGATTCCTTTATCAATTTTTGTGTATACTACTGTAAAAAAATTGGTAAAGAATTTCTGGTAAATTTTTTCTCAGTGACTGCATCTAATTTTTCAAATTATGATTGATATATACAATTTTTTATAAAAAAAAGTGGAAAATCCAAGAATCTCACAGCAAGGGAGACAACCAAGCGCAGAACATATGATGGTCGTGAGATTACATTCATTACTCAAGATGTACAAACAGACTGGGATTGGGTTCAGGAAGTGGAGAGGACTGGCAAAGGGAAGCAACTTACAGCAAATGATAGTAAGCATTCTGCCTCAATGCACAATCCTCTTAAGCCATTAAAAAACAAAACAAAAAAACCCAAAATTACACAAATTTCCTTAATATTTCAGAAACGAATCGTAAACAAGAAGTGCCATAGCAACATGAGCTATATAGTAAATCATTATTTCTATTTGAGATTAATTTGTTATGGTAGTAGATATTGTCAGAGGATTTCTGTTTAACCTGTTACAATGTGTAAACATTTAGCAGTACTGTGGTACATACATATACCTGATATATCAGTTTCTAATTTTCAGCATTGTGTAATTCTGGAGATGTTTGTAGTGATAAACTAGTGGTTTCTAGATTGTTTTGTCTGATGCATTCATAACAGCATTTCTGTGGAACTTGATAGAAATAACTCTATTTTGATGGTTTTCATATTTCAGAATCTAGCAAACCGAAACCAAAGCCAAAAAAACAAAAACCAAAAAAAGTCAAACCTCTTGACACCGAAATATACCTACAACAACCCAAACCAGGTTTATATTGCACAGAGTTGTTTGTCACAATGTTATCACAATGTCTATAAGGGGCTGGTATTATATAAGCTTCAGTCATTATCAGCGAAATATATCCAGTTTGAAAGTCATATAAGCTAACTGTTATGTTTAAATATAACTAAATTGATAACTTTATATACAGGTTTATAAAAATGTTTAAAAAGATGAAGTAGAGAGAAAGCTTTACTTTAGAAGATGATCATGTTATTTCAGTTCACTTATTATAGACAATAAACACAAAAATTGATGTAAAACTGGCCTGATAGAGGACACTGTAATATTGTGTGTGCACTCATTCTGATGGTGTCTGTGCATTCTCACATTGACTGTACACTGTCACAGTGTCTGTGCACTGTCATAGTGTCTGTGCACTGTCACAATGTCCGAACATTCTCAGAGTGATTGTACACTGTCACAGTGTCTGTACACTGTCACAGTGACTGTACACTGTCACAGTGTTCGTACATTCTCACAGTGACTGTACACTGTCACAGTGTCTGTACACTCTCACAGTGACTGTACACTGTCACAGTGTTCGTACATTCTCACAGTGACTGTACACTTTCACAGTGACTGTACACTTTCACAGTGATGTACACTGTCACAGTGTCTGTACACTGTCACAGTGACTGTACACTGTCACAGTGTCTGTACACTGTCACAGTGACTGTACACTGTCACAGTGTCTGTACACTGTTACAGTGACTACACTTTCATGGTGTCATTTACCCTCATAAATCTGTTAAAATTTATCATATTGTTTTCACACATGGCAATTTTCAGAAAATCAATTTCTAATTTTTTATGTCACTCTTGGTCCAAAACTGAATGTTCATATATTGGTATGCTGTGTGATATGGGGCCGATAAATCTCTGTCAAAAAGATTCTTTTCAAATGTATACAAATGTACCTATATATGGTGGGAGTCACATCTTTCTGGGACTACACTGATACATTAAAGTATTGAGATTGTTAATCAAATGTGACAATGATTTACAAGTATTAGTTACAGGTGAATTGTCTTTGTATTTCTGAGTATGATCTATTTAGAAACAAATTTACCATTTTTGTCATTTTTTTTTCAAAAAATAAAATTATTGGACACAGAGTAGTAGTACCTGTAGGACAATGAAATATTGGACACACATTTGTAGTATCTGTAGGACGATGCAATATTGGACACAGATTTGTAGTATCTGTAGGACAATGAAATATCTGACACAGATTTGTAGTATCTGTAGGACGATGAAACATCTGACACAGATTTGTAGTATCTGTAGGACGATGAATGAAATATTGGACACAGATTTGTAGTATCTGTAGGACGATGAATGAAATATCTGACACAGATTTGTAGTACCTGTTGGACGATGAAATATTGGACACAGATTTGTAGTATCTGTAGGACGATGAAACGTCTGACACAGATTTGTAGTATCTGTAGGACGATGAACTATCTGACACAGACTTGTAGTATCTGTAGGATGATGAAATATCTGACACAGATTAGTAGTACCTGTAGAACGATGAAATATTGGACACAGAGTAGTAGTACCTGTAGGACGATGAAATATCTGACACAGATTAGTAGTACCTGTAGAACGATGAAATATCTGACACAGAGTAGAAGTACCTGTAGGACAATGAAAAATTGGACACAGATTCGTATTACCTGTAGGATGAGGTTGCTGTAGAATTGTGCTGTAACATTGATGTATAGTAGCTCCTGTGTTGAGTGTGTGGATTCTATGTGGTAAGATGACCTGTATACAAGGGGTGAAACAAGCTGATACAGTTACATTAACAGTATTTCTATACATAATTCTTAATCTTTGAGCTGATAAATTGACAGGTAACAATCAATGAAAATGGCTATCTATATATATGGATTTGAACAATTTAAAATCACTTTTAAATACAATTGTTGTTAAAATTGTGATTTTTTTTGTACATTTACTTAATTTTGTGATATTTGTGATCTATGAGTAAACTGTTTCACCCCACAGTGTAGGTGTTGGGTAGATTGTGTGATCTTATATTGGTAGTAGGTGTGTGGGTTTATTCTGTGTTGGTTCTGATTGCCTTATTAACTCATTACAACACAAATAGCAGGATCTATATACAATACACAATTGTTACTTTTAAAGTTTTGTAAATCTTCAGTGATTCACCGGCTCTGAGAAAAGTTTTCTCGATCTTTCAGTAGATAAATCCAATATCAATCCTAAAAGTGCTATTTTTCAAATTTCTTCAGTGTTTTCAAAATTTTACTGATTGTGATGTCTCTTAGAAATATTTTATATCAGAAACCTTACAAAAACAGTTGAATAGTTTCTGCTACATATGATAGATCCTGCTATTGTCTTGTGTAATAATTCCACCGTTAACTTCACACTACTGTAAATCACTTGTCTGGTCAATGTCACACGTGTCGATGTCATACGTCAAAACACACAAGCTTTTCATTTCCAGTTTAAATTATTGTTTTAATAATGAATTAACTTTGTAAAGAAGATTTTGATCGTGGTGAATTTGATCTTACTTCCAAGGTAACTAAAACATTTTTTTTATTACCTTAGAAATACAAAAGTTTGTTACAGAACAGCATTTGATGTAATTTACTATTAATAGGAATGTTTCAAAACTCTGATATTGTAAAATTTGGTATTTACTCTTGCCAAGCATAATAGCATTTACCAATTCTTTTGACACTAAAATTTAATCATCAGACATAGTTTTTGGATTTGTGGGCATGTTGAGACTGGATGACACATGACCAAGCGTTGATATGCAGTACTCTAGGTTTATCTGCACCCACTGACCACTCCATATTTACAGGCGTCATCTCTCCGGGTGGTAAACATGGAGCCAAGGAGGACTTGGGAGGTAGTTCTGACGAAGAAGGTCGTCGAGGTAATTCACAACGTAAACCTACTTGACTGTTGATTATGAGAAAACCAACTTTGATAAGATCATTATATATTAGGTTATTTATTTTATTAATATTATTATGAATTTGATAATGTTATCAAATAGTCCTATCTGGTTTTTTTTTTATATAACCTGCTAACCACATTTATTGCTAATAAGACACTCTATTTAGAGAAGATTAGTAGACAAAATAGTTCCATTTTAGATATCGAAGAATATATGTTAATACATAGTTAAAAGCATCTCTCAAGTGAAATAATCCAGACACCTATCTCATTATGTTTGTCAAATCAGTCACACAATTAAAAATGCAGAACTAAGGACCAAGAGGAACTTACAAATGGTGTCACTTGTAACCAGACATTTTAAGTAAAATCTGCACTACATACATGCAGGTGAACCTGTTTATAAAGGTGTTAAATAGAATCAAGTGGCTATCATATACAGATATTGGTTATATAGAGATGGCCTTTATAGACAGGTATTTATTGTACAGATGTGACCTCTGTAGACAGGGATTCATTAAATAGGTGGCCTTTATAGACAAATATTAGTTAAAACTAGGTGACCTTTCTAGACAGGCAATTATTGTAAAGAGGTGGTCTTTATAGACAGGTATTTGGTATAAACAGGTGCCCATTATAGACAGGTATTTGTTATATAGATGTGACTTTTATAGACAGATATTTGTTAACTAGAAATGGCCTTTATAGACAGATATTTGTTAACTAGAAGTGGCATCTATAGACCGATATTTGTTATATAGAGGTGACCTTTTAAGACAGGTATTTAGTGTATAGAAGTGGCCTTTGTAGACAGGTATTTGTTAACTACAATCATCCTCTATAGATAGATAGAGATGACCTATAATGCAGGTGTGACTGTATTTAATGGAGCAGTTACTTACATAGTGTAATCGTTTGATAGTACATATTGATGTACATACATATGTAACTCAGACATACATAGTAGATCTTGTACAAGTAAGGTTACCATGTGTTTAAATATGTTGTATGCATCTATAATACTAATCTTTTTTTTCTGTCTTAGCCCAACTTTTCACTGTAGAAATAACCTATTAACAGTGAATAGGTATCTTTATGTTTCTGTAGAAACCTTGTAGCATTATAACATAGCAAGGGCTATTCCTTTGGTGTGGAAAGGAAGTAGGATGGAAGGTAGTACAAGGACTGTAATATAGGGTAAGGGTGGAGATAAGGTTGAGGGTAGGGTAGTACAAGGACTGTAATATAGGGTAAGGGTAGAGATAAGGTTGAGGGCAGGGTAGTACAAGGACTGTAATATAGGGTAAGGGTAGAGATAAGGTTGAGGGTAGGGTAGTACAAGGACTGTAATATAGGGTAAGGGTAGAGATAAGGTTGAGGGTAGGGTAGTACAAGGACTGTAATATAGGGTAAGGGTAGAGATAAGGTTGAGGGTAGGGTAGTACAAGGACTGTACTATAGGGTAAGGGTAGAGATAAGGTTGAGGGTAGGGTAGCACAAGGACTGTAATATAGGGTAAGGGTAGAGATAAGGTTGAGGGTAGGGTAGTACAAGGACTGTAATATAGGGTAAGGGTAGAGATAAGGTTGAGGGTAGGGTAGTTCAAGGACTGTAATATAGGGTAAGGGTAGAGATAAGGTTGAGGGTAGGGAAACTGATACATGAATGTGGTGTAGTTGTGGGTTGAGATTATTGAGTACAAAGTAACTAATTACCAAGTATTTATTTGTTGATTAGGTCCAGATAACTGTTGATATATAAGGAAGAAACAATAACTGTGACTGTTCTTTAGTCAACATAGTGTCTTCTTACCCATATATCTGGAGTAGCCCTAGACATGTAGATATTTTCTGTAGTTAAATATTCTGTATCTTTGTGTTTTTCTCTCTCTATGGTGACACATCTAATGCAGCTGTACTTGACTGCTGTTTACATTTTGATATCCCATGGTAAGATATTGTAAAATTGTATATTTTGTGATATTCAATTTTCATGGTTTTCGAAAAAATTCTTTTTTTTGCGGATACTTGAATTCATGAATAAATGTAACTAGATGAATCTACTCATACCATGTTTAAAAACTTGTTGGCTCACAAATTCATGGATAAAAAGTACCAACGAAATCAACAAAAACAAATTCCTCACAAAAATTATTGGTTTTAAAGTATATCAAACCTGAAATCAACAAAAACAAATCCCTCACAAAAATTAGTGGTTTTACAGTATATCAAATATGAATGACCCATGGATGTTGAAAGAGTACATTTAGATCTGCACTGTTGTAGATATATGTTGTATAAGTTCTGTAAAAATGGTACACTGAAGGGTACTGTTGAAGCATTATATCTTCAGAGTATATATGTGAACACTGTGTTCTATGTATGACATGTGCTGTAGGTAAAACTGATGGACCCGAGGGACAGAAGAAAGGAAAGGATGGAGAGAGTGATGGTAAGAAAGATGACAAAGCGGGAGTTGGGTCATCCTACCCATTCGCTGTTGACGACGAGTTTGGAATCCCGATGTTAGAACTAAGCAGTGATACAGACTCGGTATGTATAATGTGTTAATTTTAGAAACAATAGCAAAGTTATCGCCACGAAACTAAGGTGATATGAAGCTAAGATAGTCTAATAGAGTGACATCATGTTTAAAAAAGTCCCATAGGAAAGACACCATGTTTAAAAAAGTCCCATAGGAGTGACATCTTGTTTAAAAAAGTCCCATAGGAATGACATCATGTTTAAAAAAGTCCCATAGGAATGACACCATGTTTAAAAAAGTCCCATAGGAGTGACATCTTGTTTTAAAAAAATCCTGTAGGATGATATGATATTAAAAACAGTCCTATGGGGTGAGATGTTGTTGAAGACAGTGCCATAGAGTGATATATGGTGTTGAAGACAGTCCTATAGGGTGATATATAGTGTTGAAAACAGTCCCATAGAATGATATATGGTGTTGAAGACAGTCCCATGGGATGATATATGGTATTGAAGACAGTCCCATAGAGTGATATATGGTGTTGAAGACAGTCCCATAGAAGGATATATGGTGTTGAAAACAGTCCCTTAGAGTGATATATGGTGTTGAAGACAGTCCCATAGAATGATATATGGTGTTGAAGACAGTCCCATAGAGTGATATATGGTGTCGAAGACAGTCCCATAGAAAGATATATGGTGTTGAAAACAGTCCCATAGAGTGATATATGGTGTTGAAGACAATCCTGTAAGGTGATATGATTTTAAAAACTGTCTCATAGAGCAATATATTAAAGAAAATTTGATAGGATGATATGATGTTGAAGACACTCCCATAAGGTAATGTAGTCCCCCAAGGCCATAGGGATATGATATTAAAAAAGCCCCATATGGTATCATTATATTGTAAGGAAGTTTGACTAGTTCATTGATCATTATTGTTGTATTATTCTTACAACTTGGAAAAATCAACAACTTTATTGGAAGTCAACAACAGTGACATTTCTATTTTATGTTATACTGCCAGCTTTAATATTTACATAGTAAAAACGGTCATCCTGTCCATAAAAATCTGGAGTATGCTCTGCAGACAGAGAACACATCCTGTAAACTTAAACACATGGCACTGTGTTGAGAGTTTGTCTCACAGTGATAATAAAAAAGATATGTCTGAAGGAATTGTGTCCTTGGTGATTGTAATATTTGTAATTGTTTACCAATCCGACAGTTTCATAGACTAATTTGTACAGAATGGCTGTCGAGTGTTGTTGATAAAAGTACACTATATTAAACATCGATATATTTGCCATTCATCCTGTACAGATGTAGAATATGATTAAGTTGATGTTTGTCCCTTATAATACTGGTAGTTAAATTTGTTTACTTATAACAAAAGAGTTCTGATGAGGATGCATACAACAAGAAAACCACAGATGATCGAAATTTTATGCCAAGTATTGGACCTCCACAGATTTTACAGGTATCTGGTTTGTGTAGAACTCCTTAACACTGGTTGTGGAGTGTAGCACAGTCTAACTGACCTGCTTGATAGTCAATCCAGCTAGTCCTGTCTGATAATCCTTCCAGCTTGTCCTGTCTGATAATACTTCCAGCTCGTCCTGTCTGATAATCCTTCCAGCTCATCCTGCCTGATAATCCTTCCAGCTTGTCCTGTCTGATAATACTTCCAGCTCGTCCTGTCTGATAATCCTTCCAGCTCATCCTGCCTGATAATCCTTCCAGCTTGTCCTGTCTGATAATCCTTCCATATTGTCCTGTCTGATAATCCTTCCAGCTTGTCCTGTCTGATAATCCTTCAAGCTCGTCCAGCTTGTCCTGTCTGATAATCCTTCCAGCTAGTCCTGTCTGATAATCCTTCCAGCTTGTCCTGTCTGATAATCCTTCCAGCTTGTCCTGTCTGATAATCCTTCCATCTTGTCCTGTCTGATAATCCTTCCATCTTGTCCTGTCTGATAATCCTTCCAGCTTGTCCTGTCTGATAATCCTTCCAGCTCGTCCAGCTTGTCCTGTCTGATAATCCTTCCATCTTGTCCTGTCTGATAATACTTCCAGCTTGTCCTGTCTGATAATCCTTCCAGCTAGTCCTGTGTGATAATCCTTCCAGCTTGTCCTGTCTGATAATCCTTCCAGCTTGTCCTGTCTGATAATCCTTCCAGCTTGTCCTGTCTGATAATCCTTCCAGCTTGTCCTGTCTGATAATCCTTCCATCTTGTCCTGTCTGATAATCCTTCCAGCTCGTCCTGTCTGATAATCCTTCCATCTTGTCCTGTGTGATAATCCTTCCAGCTCGTCCTGTGTGATAATCCTTCCTGCTTGTCCTGTGTGATAATCCTTTCATCTTGTCCTGTCTGATAATCCTTGCAGCTTGTCCTGTCTGATAATCCTTCCTGCTTGTCCTGTGTGATAATCCTTCCAGCTTGTCCTGTCTGATAATCCTTCCAGCTTGTCCTGCCTGATAATCCTTCCAGCTTGTCCTGTCTGATAATCCTCCCAGCTTGTCCTGTCTGATAATCCTTCCAGCTTGTCCTGTCTGATAATCCTTCCAGCTCGTCCTGTGTGATAATCCTTCCTGCTTGTCCTGTGTGATAATCCTTCCATCTTGTCCTGTCTGATAATCCTTGCAGCTTGTCCTGTCTGATAATCCTTCCAGCTTGTCCGGTGTGATAATCCTTGCAGCTTGTCCTATCTGATAATCCTTCCAGCTTGTCCTGTCTGATAATCCTTGCAGCTTGTCCTATCTGATAATCCTTCCAGCTCGTCCTGTGTGATAATCCTTGCAGCTTGTCCTATCTGATAATCCTTCCAGCTTGTCCTGTCTGATAATCCTTCCAGCTTGTCCTGTCTGATAATCCTTGCAGCTTGTCCTATCTGATAATCCTTCCAGCTTGTCCTGTGTGATAATCCTTCCAGCTTGTCCTGTGTGATAATCCTTCCTGCTTGTCCTGTGTGATAATCCTTCCATCTTGTCCTGTCTGATAATCCTTCCATCTTGTCCTGTCTGATAATCCTTCCAGCTCGTCCTGCCTGATAATCCTTCCAGCTTGTCCTGTCTGATAATCCTTCCATCTTGTCCTGTCTGATAATCCTTCCAGCTTGTCCTGTCTGATAATCCTTCCAGCTTGTCCTGTCTGATAATCCTTCCAGTTTGTCCTGTCTGATAATCCTTCCAGCTTGTCCTGTCTGATAATACTTCCAGTTTGTCCTGTCTGATAATCCTTCCAGCTTGTCCTGTCTGATAATCCTTCCAGCTTGTCCTGTCTGATAATCCTTCCAGCTTGTCCTGTCTGATAATCCTTCCAGCTCGTCCTGTGTGATAATCCTTCCAGCTCGTCCTGTGTGATAATCCTTCCAGCTTGTCCTGTGTGATAATCCTTCCAGCTAGTCCTGTCTGATAATCCTTCCAGCTAGTCCTGTCTGATAATCCTTCCAGCTTGTCCTGTCTGATAATCCTTCCAGCTTGTCCTGTCTGATAATCCTTCCAGCTCGTCCTGTGTGATAATCCTTCCAGCTCGTCCTGTGTGATAATCCTTCCAGCTTGTCCTGTGTGATAATCCTTCCAGCTTGTCCTGTCTGATAATCCTTCCAGCTTGTCCTGTCTGATAATACTTCCAGCTCGTCCTGCCTGATAATCCTTCCAGCTCGTCCTGCCTGATAATCCTTCCAGCTCGTCCTGCGTGATAATCCTTCCAGCTCGTCCTGTGTGATAATCCTTCCAGCTTGTCCTGTCTGATAATCCTTCCAGCTTGTCCTGTCTGATAATCCTTCCAGCTTGTCCTGTCTGATAATCCTTCCAGCTAGTCCTGTCTGATAATCCTTCCAGCTCGTCCTGCCTGATAATCCTTCCAGCTTGTCCTGTCTGATAATCCTTCCAGCTCGTCCTGCCTGATAATCCTTCCACATCTATCTAGCAGATGGTTTTTTTTTTGCTTTTCTTTAACAGGGTTGCCATAGCTTGTCAATCAAACTAATCTTCTTTTCACAGATAACTGTTTTAGCTGATCCTGATACCATAGCTTATTCTTACATGTGACTTTATCTTTTGTAGATAGAGATTTTCCACTGATTTCTTTTCCTTTATCTATCTTTCATGTTTATTTTCATTACTTATATATCCTGCATCACATCCCTTTAAGTTTCATTTTTAATCCTTCATACCCTTCAACTACATCAGCTACATATCTTAATTCGTCTACTGCATGTAACTCTTCACTAAATATTGTAGTTGTGACATCAGAATATCTTGTGATACACAGTAATATCCTTTTAATGTAATCACTTTTTATAACACTTCTGTTAATGTAATTGCTCTTTATAACACTGTTGCAGATTGCTTCCATTCAATTTGGTATACTGTATCTAATTCTAAATTTATTTTGAAAGATGCTACACATATACTTGAAGTTCTTTTGAAATCATCCAAAAGTGAATTTAATTGAATTTATCTTTGTTATCATTAAACTTTATTTGCTGTCAACAAACATTTCTGTTGTTTAGAAAAATTATCAACCCTTAACATCAGATTGATGTCATTGTTTGTACTGAAAGAAACTTGTAATTAGCTAAAAAGCTATTAACTTGAAATATCTTTTATGCTATGAAGCCATGGCACCAAAACTGCAGTGTACACATCCAAATTAATCCTTCAATGATAATGTGACATTGGATTTTACCTAAATTATCTATATTCAATAATGGTATAACTGGCAATGTTAGTAATGTATCTGGAATTCTCATGCTTTTCAGATATCTTTGTGTCTTTTATCCTTGTAATATTATTTTTTTTATTTCATGGTAAACCATAGTTACCTTCAGAATGAATCACTGAAGTCTTTCCTCATGTCTGTTTAAGGGTTCAGCAGAACATTTGTTTATAAGAGAATAAATTGATACCTTTATCTCTAATTCTATACAGTACTTTTGGGTATATTTTCAAGGTAAGTCAAGATCCCATTTTTCCAAATTTTACTGAATTCTGTTACTTAAATTACTTTCAAGACCCATTGGGAATTCCCCTGGAAAGGCATGAGTCAAGGACTAGAATATCTAAGTCTAAAAAATCACTGTTACTCGTGTTTGTCAACTATTGAAAGAGATGTCTTGTAATATTTTCTGGTTTGTTGATCAGTACATCCGTGAATCGGAGAAGCAGGACATAGATGTGGAGGATCCTAGAGCTCTGGAGCTGGTATCGGAGGAAGAAGAGGATTACCCAGTAGATGAACATGGCCGTTCCCTCGGCATGCTCGGAGGAAATTGTGAGTTCTGTGAAAAAGAAATCAAGCGGTTCCCATCTCTGGAACAGCAACAAAGTCAGCCCCCAGAGGAGCTGTATTGTTGTAATCAGTACCGTGAGTTTGTTGAGTTTGCAACCAGCCAGTCAGCTATTATGGAAGAGGAACACAAGAAAAAAAACAAGATGATAAGTGTGAAGTCTCATCCTCGCCATGGGGACAAACAAGCAAGACAAGCTGCTCGGGAGCGAGCTGAAAGGAGGTGAGTGGCACCATCTAATCATTCATTATAATCAGTTATAATGGAAAAATGAATTGATTAACATTTGAGTTTAAGGAGGTTATTTTCATGTCTGCATTGTAGACAACATGTTATAATGTTTCGTTAGTGTTAGTCATGTGATACAAAATCAGTCATGTGATACAAAATCAGTCATGTGATAAAGTCTCAGTTGTCATGTGATACGAAATCAGTCTTATGATACAGTATAAGTCTTGTGATAAAGTATCAGTCATTTGAATTCTTTTGGTTGTCCCCAGAAAGTTTTAATCGTAATACCCCTTGGTTGTCCCCAGAAAGTTTTAATCGTAATACCCCTTGGTTGTCCCCAGAAAGTTTTAATCGTAATACCCCTTGGTTGTCCCCAGAAAGTTTTAATCGTAATACCCCTTGGTTGTCCCCAGAAAGTTTTAATCGTAATACCCCTTGGTTGTCCCCAGAAAGTTTTAATCGTAATACCCTTTGGTTGTCCCCAGAAAGTTTTAATCGTAATACCCCTTGGTTGTCCCCAGAAAGTTTTAATCGTAATACCCCTTGGTTGTCCCCAGAAAGTTTTAATCGTAATACCCCTTGGTTGTCCTTAGAAAGTTTTAATCGTAATACCCCTTGGTTGTCCCCAGAAAGTTTTAATCGTAATACCCCTTGGTTGTCCCCAGAAAGTTTTAATCGTAATACCCCTTGGTTGTCCCCAGAAAGTTTTAATCGTAATACCCCTTGGTTGTCCCCAGAAAGTTTTAATCGTAATACCCCTTGGTTGTCCCCAGAAAGTTTTAATCGTAATACCCCTTGGTTGTCCCCAGAAAGTTTTAATCGTAATACCCCTTGGTTGTCCCCAGAAAGTTTTAATCGTAATACCCCTTGGTTGTCCCCAGAAAGTTTTAATCGTAATACCCCTTGGTTGTCCCCAGAAAGTTTTAATCGTAATACCCCTTGGTTGTCCCCAGAAAGTTTTAATCGTAATACCCCTTGGTTGTCCCCAGAAAGTTTTAATCGTAATACCCTTTGGTTGTCCCAGGAAATTTTAATCGTAATACCTGTTGGTTGTCCCAAGGAAATTGTAGTCATAATACCCCCTGGTTGTAACCAGGATGGTAAAGTCATAATTTCTCTTGGCTGTCCCCAGGATCAGAGAACGTGAAATGCAGCGCAGACAACAGGAAGTATCGGGTATGCAGCAGCAGGCTTTTATGGCAGGTACGTAAAGACTGTGTCGTCATGTAGTATAGACAAGGAAACGTGATTGGATAGTCTGATCATGTGACTTCTGAAATACAATCTTCATGTTGATGATTGTGTGATCATTATATTGGTTAAACATGTGACCCACCAACCAAAGTTGTGTTTAAATCCTTGCATGTTTTGAGTTTGGGATTAAGTTTATTAACTCCCTTCACATTGGTATAACAATTTATCTTTTCTGATGTTATCACTAAATTTTTGATTATTTCAAACTAATACAAGTTTTGCTAACTCTGTCACATGATTGGACCAACAGATGTAACTAAAGTAACATAATAGTTTAAACAAAGTATAGTATTTTATTTATACCACAATATTGTTTACATCATGTTTATATACATATAGATATTTTTTCTCCCTTTTGTAGAAATAACACAGGTTTCTACAAAACTCAATATTTTATAACCTATTCCTGCCCATATTTATACTGAATATTACTCCTATAACACGGTCTATTTCAAATTTCAGGTAAAATACAGTTATTTCTTTGCTTAATAATTATTCATAATAATTCATATTCTGCTTTACCCATTAATCTTATAGTATTCTCCCTATCAAATAATTGGTATTCCTTCCCATCAATCTTGTAACATCCTCTCAATTTGATAATTGATATTCTGCCCTACCCCTCTATCCTGTAATATTCTCTCAATTTGATAATTGATATTCTGCCCTACCCCTCTATCCTGTAATATTCTCTCAATTTGATAATTGATATTCTGCCCTACCCCTCTATCCTGTAATATTCTCTCAATTTAATAATTTACAATTTTCTTCTATACCCTACCCAATAATCCTGCAATATTCTCTCAATTTAATAATTGATATTCTACCCTACCCAATAATCCTGCAATATTCTCTCAATTTATTAATTGATATTCTACCCTACCCAATAATCCTGCAATATTCTCTCAATTTATTAATTGATATTCTACCCTACCCATTTCTGAAGCATCAGATCAAGGACAGCCAATGTTTCTCTGTCTCCTTCTTTATCTCTTACTTTGGTCATTTTTCTATAAATAGCGCTTGATTTTGCTGTGGTTTGAGAAGTTGCTTTAACTTGGCTAGAATTAGAGAGTTTCTAAGATTCATTGCCAGTTATGTGTACTAGATCTTATGTATATCTATATACGCTATGGTTTGCTAGAAATCTGAAATACATCTCGGAACTAATCCTTTTTACTGAGTGAGATTGTTGTCCCTGTAAATTGTAAATTTCATGTCCCCAGGTCTCACATTTTCCCCTGTGGAGGTGGTAAAGTTTACTATAGTAGATATAGGAAAATTACATTTTAATTTGCTTTATTTTCTATTGGTAATAGATCAAACTTGGTTAGAATTGTTAGGATGACAATTTGATGGTATGCACATATTGACCATGGCTGCCCCTCCGGAGTTGATGGGCACGGCCAAAAATGAACTGAAAATGGACTGAAATTTCAAAAAATCTGTGGTAACCCCAGCAAATACAAACAGTTAAAATGTTTAAAAGGCATTTATAAAATGTTTCTTTTATTTTCCTCTATTATATTGAGAGGAATTGCAAAATTATGCAATCATATGTAATTAATCTGAATATCTGTTATTGAAACAGGTTATTATAGAGTTAAATTTATTGTTTGCATTTTAATCTTACAGTCCTTCTCCTCCTCTTTCTCATCCTCCTTCCCCCAAGTTATTCTATTGTTTGCATTTTAATTTTGCTCTCCTCCTCCTCCTCTTCCTCCTCCTCCTCCTCCTCCTAAATCACCCTCCTCTCCTCCTTTTCCTCCCAGGAGTACAACAGGACAACTTGATGCATCATGATTTTTTTCTTTGTTTACCCTACTACTGTAATTAAAAACAAAATCATCTTAGAATTCTTCCTCTGTGGTTTTTTTCTTGTTTTTTTTTTTTAATTAAAAAAAAAGTCTTCTTCTCTTATAATTTTGTATTGCTATTTGTGGTTAAGAATTCTACAGGGAAATTTCACACTGTTTTGTTGTTTATCTTTCTTAATACATGTAACTTTCCATCTAAAGGCTAAACTTAAAAATGATGATAAACGTGTTTTAAACAATTGAAGCAGCATATTTTTGACTGCCAGGTTATCTGAGATCATTGGTCAGATTTACAATTACCTTTGCTAATCACTGACCAGGAAAATATAAAATTTGAATTCTTTTTAATTTCAGCCTTTTGATCTTTACTAATCTTTTTAACCCACATGGTTACTTTTCAACTTTCCATATAAAAAAATTTTGGATGTAGTCACGTGGGTTGGGAAGGTCAGCACTGACCGGTCCCTAACGATCGTATTTCTCCTCATGCTTGTCCTAGATGTTGGTTTTTGTGATGGTGATTTGACTTTGTGTGACAGGAAAATCTAAAGGCTTGGGCAGCCTCCCTGGACAGCAGCTGTATAAAGACAGTGGTAGGTGGCGCTCTACACTGGGTCATACACTCTCGCTTCTATCGTCCTGTATGCACTGCACTGGGGGAAGGTCAAGGCTTTTTAACACGGGTCATACCCTGTGATGTAAGGGTCAGTCCTGACCACAAGGGTCCATATTAAGTTAAGGATTTTCCTGAGTTCTGAGGTGAATCCATTAAGGGGTTAAATGCCTTACCTTAGACCGCCCAGATTCTGACATTTTGGTAGATGTTTGCTTATTAAATTTCATATGAACATTGCTTTTTATGACTTCAGTCACTAATCCTCTTTGAGTTTGAACTTTCATTGTATACACCTGTAGATTTGAAAACTTGGCATGATAAAGGCAGTCATGCTTCCTCCAATGATTTGTTCTAAAGTAGGACAGTGTGGTAGGTACTGTACAGAATGTCACAACATCCTCTTCGTGTCAGCATATTGTATTGTATTTTAGCACTTTTGATACTTCATAGGAGCATGTCCCAACTTTTCACATATGATTCACAACTCTGGGGAACATTTTTATCAATGATATAAATATATTGATTTTATCAAGAAATTAACATATACCCTGCTTAGGAAGAGGGTGATTTTTGAAACTTTGTACCATATAAGTGTGGGGTCTGCTGGTGTAAGATGTATTGAATTGTGATGTGACCTGTAGGCCAGCTGTTTATATATATATTTATACTATACATTGTGTGTTTGCTATTTGCTATATATCTGCTATATAATCACACTATATTGAGTGACCAGGCCAGGCTCAATACTGAACAGAATCTACTGTTCAGGTAAAACGTTTCATTTCTATATGTTTTACCTGTTGTGTGTTGCATGCTTAGAAGCTAGCTAAAAGTATCGTGTGTGCAGGCTTACACCATAGATGTGAGAGTTTGTTCACCATAGTGATGTAGCTATAGGTATCATGTGTGCAGGCTTACACCATAGATGTGAGAGAATTTGTGTATATACAATAGTAATGTAGCTATCGTGTGCACATGCATAGACTTTGAATGTAGTGAGAGTTTGTGTGTATGAAGTATAAAGTGATGTAGCTATGTATAATGCGTGCATGCTTTACCATAGATGTGAGAGTTTGTTCATAGTCTTTAGATGATGTAATTATTAGCCTGTCGGCCATCATCAGACGATGGGCCGTTTTAATTGCTCTTCACCCGTAATCTGTTGTCTTTTCATTCATCCTTCCGTCCACCAATATGTAATCAATTTCTGTTATTGATAATTTTAGAGAGACATGGTACAGCTTTTTCTCAAATTTCATATATAGGTTCCCCTTTGTCATGCTTTATCCATTTTGGGACTGATCGCAAAAACAAAATGGCGAACATGCTGCCATCGTAGATTTTGATAGTAATTGTTTGTTGTCACTGTTTCTGGAGAACTACTGGACAAACCTACATTCCTATATATTATATCAAGGTTTCCCATGTTCCCATGTCACACATTTATTTTCCACGTTTATTTTTCATTAATAGAAAAATTCATCAATAGAAAAAAACACCAAGATTGTTGGCTATGTTAGATTTTTGACAGTAATTTTTGTTATCACCAACACTTGAAACACTAGAAGGAACAATGTCTACACATGTAGGTTTCCCTTTGTGCGATATTGTCCAAGTGCAATGTTCAAAGCAGTTAAAAGGATAGAAGAGGTAAAAAGGGACAAGATCAGACTAGTAAAGACTTGATAAAGATCATAGCATGATGGGCACAAACGATCACTACAGGAATCTCTAACAGTGAACTACGTTACCCACCATCATAGCATGATGGGCACAAACGATCACTACAGGAATCTCTAACAGTGAACTACGTTACCAACCATCATAGCATGATGGGCACAAACGATCACTACAGGAATCTCTAACAGTGAACTACGTTACCCACCATCATAGCATGATGGGCACAAACGATCACTACAGGAATCTCTAACAGTGAACTACGTTACCCACCATCATAGCATGATGGGCACAAACGATCACTACAGGAATCTCTAACAGTGAACTACGTTACCCACCATCATAGCATGATGGGCACAAACGATCACTACAGGAATCTCTAACAGTGAACTACGTTACCCACCATCATAGCATGATGGGCACAAACGATCACTACAGGAATCTCTAACAGTGAACTACGTTACCCACCATCATAGCATGATGGGCACAAACGATCACTACAGGAATCTCTAACAGTGAACTACGTTACCCACCATCATAGCATGATGGGCACAAACGATCACTACAGGAATCTCTAACAGTGAACTACGTTACCCACCATCATAGCATGATGGGCACAAACGATCACTACAGGAATCTTTAACAGTGAACTACGTTACCCACCATCATAGCATCAACATAGAGTCTGTCATAATAACATGATATTTCTGGTCATGGTTTCATATCAGTAAGAAACTGAAGGTTAGGATCATTCTTCAAACATTGAATGGTGAGAATGACATGTTGATGAGAGGGACGGTAGTGTATGTATATAGATTGAATATTGATGAGAGTGAAGCTGGTGTATGTGTGGTCAGTCAACCCTGTATATCTGGTCCTAATATTCCTTCAAGTTTTCTATCTCATGAAAGATCAGATTCAAACCTTTGAGTTAATTTGAATGGTTGAAGTTATGAAAACTCTATTTCAACCTATGAAATTAACAAGTTGTGAATAAGATTTTTTCTTGTAGAAAACTTGGAAGACGATTTTAAGACCTGGTGCTAAGTTGTAATCATGAGAGTGTTCAAAGGAACAATATCCCTGAATCTATAAACTACGCTTTGTTGTCTTTCCTTGGTTGTTGGATGTGACAGTAGGTGTCTCTGTGTGAGTATCATACACGGTGCTGCATTAACAACATCTTTAAAATAAAAACCGGCCTCGATCGAAATATCTTGTTTTGAGTTTTGTTGATTTGAACTTGACCAATGACAATCAAGATTACAAATAAAAAACCAGCTAACATTTAACTTCATTGAACAAGTTCAGTCGAGCTCTAAAGAGATGTTTTCATGTACGAGGCCGTACAGATGTTCCCGCACTTTAACTGGTTATATAGGGTATATATCCCGATAAACAAATGTAACAGGATGTTAGGATAATGCTTATTATTAAAAATAAATAAATAATAAATAAATAAAAAACAATCAATAACCAACACTATTATAACCTAATAATGATAAAACTGACTACCAAAATTATTAATAATAACAATAGATAATTATTTTATTGTTTAAATTATTCATTATCATTTCACTGAAATCAAATAATTTGGGAAGAAAGAACTTTGAAAAGAAAGAGAAATTAATTTAAAATCGTGTTTTCTAAATACAAAGTGCTGGCAATGTTAAAGTTTTATTTTCGTAATCTGTTGTTGAATGAGTAAACATCATGATCAGAGAAAAATAAATTTACAATTTCACAAAGTTGAGGAATAGCAAACTTGTCAGTAAAGTTCGAGAAGTATAAGATGTTTATCACACAATCTAGAAGATTCAGACGAAGAGCTACGCATCGCATCACCTGCTGAATCCCCGATGCCTTCATCTGCCTCACCGGTTTCACCGGTTTCGAAAACCAAGGTGTCAAAAAAGACAAAAAAGGCAAAACCTAAAGTTCACAGGGCACGGCAACCGCCCCCTCGGGTGAAACCAGACAAGCCCAAAAGTGGGCCGAAACGTAAATTTTTGGGCACTACCCAATCTTTCGCGGGAAAAACAGGATTTCAAGGTATCAGTACAGGTCATGATTTAAAATGTTTGTATGTATAAAGTTATGTGATTGTTAAGTGTTTGGTAGTGAAATGAGATATGTTGTTGTGTTGAATATGAATGGTGTGAGAGGTTCTAGGGAAGGTATCACATCCTTCATTATACATTATGCCATACAGATTCAGTCATTTGATACTAAGTCATATTCAGTTTCCCTTACATTTCTCATGTAGCTTTGTCTTCTGTAGAAAATACACTGTGATGTTATCTTTTTATCAGATTTTAGAGTTTTAAATGTTTGTAACATTCTTGACATGTCATTTCTACATCTTCACTATACAACTGTATAAATGTTTATTATCTTTAATTTACCCTCAAAACTCAATATATTTCATTAAATAAAATTATGATTTAATCAATTTCATCAATTTGAATTTATCTTCAACTATATGATACATTTCTCACTGAAATACATCTAAATGAAATCTGCCTCCTTGTAGTGGCCCGGCAGATGAAGACTATAAACTACATGTTATCCTCCCAGCGATGCCTGGAGGAGGGATGGACTATCCGTGCTCCGAGCCCCTTGCTGCCAGAGGAACATGAAGACATATTTGTCCCTGAGCCCCTTAATCCAGCCATGATAGCCTCAGGAAATGTGAGTGATTAAACAATGGACATTATACAATGATTAACTCCTAATTAGACGTATATTATTTATTAGCAGCACCAATCAGAAATTGATTGTGATGTCATAATGTGGACAATGACATGCCATGAATTGAAATTGGCACAAAAAATAGCTGGCTTTATTCATTAATTCCAGTTGTATGTCTGACCCCTGATAGAGAAGTCCTATGTACATCTACCAATGATTTATTAATTCCAGTTTTATGTCTGACCCTTGATAGAGAAGTCCTATGTACATCTAACTATGATTTATTAATTCCAGTTTTATGTCTGACCCCTGATAGAGAAGTCCTATGTACACCTAACTATGATTTATTAATTCCAGTTTTATGTCTGACCCCTGATAGAGAAGTTCTATGTACACCTAACTATGATTTATTAATTCCAGTTGTATGTCTGACCCCTGATAGAGAAGTTCTATGTACACCTAACTATGATTTATTAATTCCAGTTGTATGTCTGACCCCTGATAGAGAAGTTCTATGTACACCTAACTATGATTTATTAATTCCAGTTGTATGTCTGACCCCTGATAGAGAAGTTCTATGTACACCTAACTATGATTTATTAATTCCAGTTGTATGTCTGACCCCTGATAGAGAAGTTCTATGTACACCTAACTATGATTTATTAATTCCAGTTTTATGTCTGACCCCTGATAGAGAAGTCCTATGTACATCTACCTATGATTTATTAATTCCAGTTTTATGTCTGACCCCTGATAGAGAAGTCCTATGTACATCTAACTATGATTTTTGAATTCCAGTTTTATGTCTGACCCCTGATAGAGAAGTCCTATGTACACCTAACTATGATTTATTAATTCCAGTTTTATGTCTGACCCCTGATAGAGAAGTTCTATGTACACCTAACTATGATTTATTAATTCCAGTTTTATGTCTGACCCCTGATAGAGAAGTTCTATGTACACCTAACTATGATTTATTAATTCCAGTAGTATGTCTGACCCCTGATAGAGAAGTTCTATGTACACCTAACTATGATTTATTAATTCCAGTTGTATGTCTGACCCCTGATAGAGAAGTTCTATGTACACCTAACTATGATTTATTAATTCCAGTTGTATGTCTGACCCCTGATAGAGAAGTTCTATGTACACCTAACTATGATTTATTAATTCCAGTTGTATGTCTGACCCCTGATAGAGAAGTTCTATGTACACCTAACTATGATTTATTAATTCCAGTTGTATGTCTGACCCCTGATAGAGAAGTTCTATGTACACCTAACTATGTACATTTATTAATTCCAGTTGTATGTCTGACCCCTGATAGAGAAGTTCTATGTACACCTAACTATGATTTATTAATTCCAGTTGTATGTCTGACCCCTGATAGAGAAGTTCTATGTACACCTAACTATGATTTATTAATTCCAGTTGTATGTCTGACCCCTGATAGAGAAGTTCTATGTACACCTAACTATGATTTATTAATTCCAGTTGTATGACCGACCCCTGATAGAGAAGTTCTATGTACGCCTAACTATGATTTATTAATTCCAGTTGTATGACCGACCCCTGATAGAGAAGTCCTATGTACATCTAACTATGATTTATTAATTCCAGTTGTATGACCGACCCCTGATAGAGAAGTTCTATGAAGATGGACAGAAGTTCCTAACCATGTTCCCTGATGGAACTGGAAATGTTTTGTATCCTTTGTATACTAAAAAAGAAACATTTTATAACTTCAGTTGTTGTAAAACGTTTTCCTCGCACCATCACCAATGTACCATGAAATGTGTATTGAAGTTAAAGACTCTAAAACTGCAACATGTTACATTACATAACAAGACGATGCTGTCCTATTGTCAGCTTGAGTCAGCTCTCTTTTCCTACCCCATGTATGATTAAAAGGATCTTTCCCTAGTTTGAGGGTAGGACAAATTAATCTCTACCCGAGAAGAAGATTCACAAATGTCTATAAAGCCTCGGTTTAGACTGTCAGGAATCTCCTTGGAGGGTGAAGATTTCTCGGTCCTACCCTAAAGCTAGGGAAAGATCCTTTTTCTACCCCTTATCCAGAACATACTAGAAATATAGGAATAAGACAAATATATGCTGACAAATATGGAAACGAAATCAGGCAAATAATGAATTTTGATTTAATTGTGACTGATTTTTAATCTTCATTTTACATTCGACAGAGACAGTTGTAATAATAAATCATTGTCATAAAGCATTTTAAACTGGTTTGAATAAACAGAAATGATCAGATGCTGTCTAACAATGATATCAAGTTTATCAAAACTGTCAATATCTATCAGTCACGTCTCTTGCATCTCAAAAGTTTTAACTTCTGGTCCAGCACATGTTTATGTTCTGTGTGTACAAGCTGTCTTACCCCAGCTAGATAAAGATATCATAACCTCAACAGAAGTGTGTATATTTCTGTCAGATGGATTAGAATAATAGAATCTTTCAGCCCCTTTAGGTTTATATAGGGGCTCTCAACCCTTGGGGGAGATTAGTAAGTTGTCGAACACAGACGGCATATGAACAGTGACTTTTCCTGCACCTCAGGGTAAGAGAAAAGGAAATCACACACTGGGAAAAATGTGGATTTACCTGTCCAGGGTAAGAGAAAAGGAAATCACACACTGGGAAAAATGTGGATTTACCTGTCCAGGGTAAGAGAAAAGGAAATCACACACTGGGAAAAATGTGGATTTACCTGTCCAGGGTAAGAGAAAAGGAAATCACACACTGGGAAAAATGTGGATTTACCTGTCCAGGGTAAGAGAAAAGGAAATCACACACTGGGAAAAATGTGGATTTACCTGTCCAGGGTAAGAGACAAGGAAATCACACACTGGGAAAAATGTGGATTTACCTGTCCAGGGTAAGAGACAAGGAAATCACACACTGGGAAAAATGTGGATTTACCTGTCCAGGGTAAGAGACAAGGAAATCACACACTGGGAAAAATGTGGATTTACCTGTCCAGGGTAAGAGAAAAGGAAATCACACACTGGGAAAAATGTGGATTTACCTGTCCAGGGTAAGAGACAAGGAAATCTCAGACCAGTAAAAAGCGTGGATTTACCTGTTCTGGGTAAGAGACAAAGAAATCTCACACCGTTAAAAAGCACGGATTTACCTGTCCTGGGTAAGAGACAAGGAAATCTCAGACCAGTAAAAAGCACGGATTTACCTGTCCAGGGTCAGAGTTATCCTATCCCTAACAACCACAGGATCACCCTGTGAAGTATGTGAGAATTTTGTGTCTTGTTTCATTCCAATTGAAATTGTGATATATATATCTAATTTATTTTTCTTGTTGAAAATGTGAGAAATTTGTGTTTTTTATTTTCTTGTTGGAAATTATTTTCTGCGATTGATTAACACTACTTAGTTAAGTAAGATGATGTGACAGACAGAGGATTGATCTTTTTGCCTTCCATCAATGTAACAAAGTATCATTTGGTGTCAGAAGTTACCTTAACACTGCTCAGTTATCCCTCTGGGAACCTCGCAATATCAATATCCTCTGTGACCTTGGGCCAGTACACCTACGTGGTACAGGAGGACACAGACCGACCAATCGTCCTCTCAGTGTTTGAACCTAATGGATACGCCACATGTTATCATCCTAACAATGTGATCAGGTCAAGTTGTTAGCCATACTTTCTGTTAAAACTAGAGTGTTGTGTTTAAAATAATACCCTGTCAATCTGGACTTATTAAGAATCATCCTCAGTATTCAAACCTATATAACAGGTAGATGTTTGACATAAACAATATGATTTCCCTCTCGATGTTTAAAGATTTATTGAATTAAAATATAATGAAAGAAGTGATCACCAAACATAATAATGAGCTGAATATAGAGGTTAATGTTTTATCTTTTTGTGTCATCAGATTGTGTATGGAGCCTATCGGTGGAATAGAACTTGATCCCCTAGGGAACCGCAAACGTCGATGGAGCTGGAAAGACCAAGAGACTCATGTTCATGCCCCTCCTTTCCAGCCAATCCACTTTGGTCTGAATCGATACATAGGAGTTCGTGTGATGAGCCAGGATAGGATAGCTCTCACACTCAGTGCCAAACAGCGTAGCTGTCGCTTCAATGTAGGCGCTAAACTTAAGGTATGTTATACCAAAGTTTAATCTCGGATCATCATTGTGTAGTAATGACATGTAAAATAAAGTAAAACGAAGAAAGAAAAATTAAAAGTTTTATAATATATTTTTTTTTCTGTTACAGTTAATAAATCCAGAGAGTGTTCCCTCTAAAGAACTAGACGACACTTTGATATTTTTAGATGATAAGAAGAACCGTGTTGAGTAAGTATGGAGATTCATAGTCTACTCCATCTCGTTTAGCTTGTCAGGATGATTACTTACTATACACTGTAAACAGCTATACAGAAAGCCTGCAACATAAACCCTATTGTTCGACAAATCTATATATTATGTATGGAACTTGTATCACAAGTTTCAGTATACATGTAGGACTTGGTGTTACCCTCTTAACAAGACTAATGGCATTCATAGTCAGTAGAGAATCTATACAGTATACATGTAGTAGGACTTGGTGTTACCCTCTTAACAAGACTGATGGCATTCATAGTCAGTAGAGAATCTATACAGTATACATGTAGTAGGACTTGGTGTTACCCTCTTAACAAGACTGATGGCATTCATAGTCAGTAGAGAATCTATACAGTATACATGTAGTAGGACTTGGTGTTACCCTCTTAACAAGACTGATGGCATTCATAGTCAGTAGAGAATCTATACAGTATACATGTAGTAGGACTTGGTGTTACCCTCTTAACAAGACTGATGGCATTCATAGTCAGTAGAGAATCTATACAGTATACATGTAGTAGGACTTGGTGTAAATACCTTCAAAACCTATATATCTAGTTAAGATATTTCATAAAAGATATCATCATGTCACTCAGTCAAGAAAATTGAGTCTCCTGGTTTGTCATGTTTGGGTAACACATGCTTTAGTTTTTTGCAAAGGCTTGAAAATCTGCCATTGTATATGGATGCTCTTCATGCATCTATGTACCTTGGCAATTGGGAGAGCTGTTCAGGGGAGGTAATTCCAAACAGAAAAATATTCCAGAAGTTCAGAGAATTTTGAGGAATTTCTGGCTTAACCTTTGTGGCAGGATATATAATATTCACCAGTATTAAGTGTTATGAAGTATATTGTCTATTACAGGACCCTGCTGGATCGGGTTTCTACTTTACTTAAATTTCCCAAGTCTCCCAAACTTGAGAAGATCTTGCCACCTCTAAGCCTAACATCACGAGTAACAAAGACAGAGAAAATGAAGAAAGAAAGAGCACAACAGATTGCAGCTATGGAAGCAAAGAAAACAAAACAACCTGGCATTGTAACAGTCAACTAAGTAGATGTAATGTAGACTCACCATAGGTCTGGTAATATAGTCATCTGTCAGAGGAAATGCTTGAACTAGTATACAAATACCTCAGTGTGATAAATAAACATCATCCTGCACTTTATCATCCTTATGTCTATTGTAGTCTTTATTTAACAGCCATTTTAATTCAGATTCAAATTTTTGCTGATTAAAGAGACAGGTATATTAAACTGAGATATTTCAATTTGACTATTAAACTGACGCGGATCTTAGTTTGACTGGAATATCAAATTGACTTGGGTATTAGTTTTGACTGGTGTATTAAAGTGACTGGGATACTAGTTTGACTGCGATACTGACCCTACACAGATAAGCCTTTGCTAAGCTGGAGCTTATGAAACTGTCAGATCTTTTTGTATAGATTTATTAAATATTACTGTTAATCTATTGCTCTATTGAGATTCATTTTTAAGATAAATCTGACGATTATTTTGTGTATTAGAACACGATGAGAACATAGATTTTGTAGAATCAGAGTATAGATTCCCATGTTGCCATTTTCCTGTCTGATTATGTAAGAATTATGTTACAATATGTGAAAACTTTGTAGCTCTGTCAGTTTTGTATTTTTATCTTATTCTACGAATGTCTGTGATATTACCTGATGTAAATCTTGCACACACTTACAGAATACTGAGAGTTAAGATATGTTATAACCTCACTGTTGATATGATGCTGTGCTGACAACAGAAACCTTATGACTTCAGGTTGAAATTCTGTATACTATTCCTCTGTAGAATATATGCTGCTTGTCGACTGTAAAGCAACTTATATACATCATTTTGGAAACTTGAAGTATAAGGTAGTAAAATATAACATGTGGGAAACTGCTGAAGAATTAGGAAGTAATATATTATATGTGGGAAACTGCTGAAGAATTAGGAAGTAATATATTATATGTGGGAAACTGCTGAAGAATTAGGAAGTAATATATTATATGTGGGAAACTGCTGAAGAATAAGTAGTTATATAATACATGTGGGAAACTGCTGAATAATTAGGAAGTAATATATTATATATGGGAAACAGCTGAAGAATTAGGGAGTAATATATTATATGTGGCAAACTGCTGAAGAATTAGGGAGTAATATACTATATGTGGGAAACTGCTGAAGAATTAGGGAGTAATATATTATATGTGGGAAACTGCTGAAGAATGAGGAAGTAATATATTATATGTGGGAAACTGCTGAAGAATAAGTAGTTATATGTTACATGTGGGAAACTGCTGAAGAATTAGGAAGTAATATATTATATGTGGGAAACTGCTGAAGAATTAGGAAGTAATATATTATATGTGGGAAACTGCTGAAGAATAAGTAGTTATATTATTATATGTGGGAAACTGCTGAAGAATAAGTAGTTATATGTTACATGTGGGAAACTGCTGAAGAATAAGTAGTTATATAATACATGTGGGAAACTGCTGAAGAATAAGTAGTTATATGTTACATGTGGGAAACTGCTGAAGAATTAGGAAGTAATATATTATATGTGGGAAACTGCTGAAGAATTAGGAAGTAATATATTATATGTGGGAAACTGCTGAAGAATTAGGAAGTAATATATTATATGTGGGAAACTGCTGAAGAATAAGTAGTTATATAATACATGTGGGAAACTGCTGAAGAATAAGTAGTTATATGTTACATGTGGGAAACTGCTGAAGAATTAGGAAGTAATATATTATATGTGGGAAACTGCTGAAGAATAAGTAGTTATATTATTATATGTGGGAAACTGCTGAAGAATAAGTAGTTATATGTTACATGTGGGAAACTGCTGAAGAATAAGTAGTTATATAATACATGTGGGAAACTGCTGAAGAATAAGTAGTTATATGTTACATGTGGGAAACTGCTGAAGAATTAGGAAGTAATATATTATATGTGGGAAACTGCTGAAGAATTAGGAAGTAATATATTATATGTGGGAAACTGCTGAAGAATTAGGGAGTAATATATTATATGTGGGAAACTGCTGAAGAATAATAGTTATATAATACATGTGGGAAACTGCTGAAGAATAAGTAGTTATATGTTACATGTGGGAAACTGCTGAAGAATTAGGAAGTAATATATTATATGTGGGAAACTGCTGAAGAATTAGGGAGTAATATATTATATGTGGGAAACTGCTGAAGAATAAGTAGTTATATTATTATATGTGGGAAACTGCTGAAGAATAGAAAGCATTATAATTAATTTTTTTAAAAACATTTTTGAATAGAAAATGAGAAGCAGCTGTACACATGGTATTATATATAGTATATAGTACAAAATTATGGTATGTTTACCAAAATATTTTGAACTTGTTATTAAAACATGTATGTTCTCTGTTTACTTCACTGTGTATGTTGTGTTCTCTGCATGTTATTGAAGTTCTGTTTCCTGTTGAAATGATTGTAAGAAACATGTAAACATTGACAGCAGATCTCAGATACCAGTGATAATAATGCTTATACAAAGAGATATGTTTAGGTTTAATACAAGATTTTGATATATTTGTGAAATCATGATTTTATATCCCTGATTTTCATGTTTATCAAACCTTATTCTATAATAAACTTGATGGCATGATGTCAGGGATATATGTTTTTTAACAAGTACGCCGTAACAAATCATCAAAGTTTGTCTCACAATTATCCAGCAACTTATTATGTGTCCATTATGAAATGGCAATCAGTCATTATCGGTTTGAATTTCTGTGGACTTTATTTCTCTGTACATAACAGTGAAAATGAGCAGCTGTTTTATATGGAGATTTTTTTGGATCTGAAACATTTTTTTTTTTCAAAATCTTTGGTGCAACTGCCAAGTTAAGCAATTGCATAACTATTTCACTTGGTGTTGATATTGATGATGTTAATGACGCTGCTGAGTACAAAATCACAACCAAACAAAGTCAGACAACTTTCATGTCTAACATGAACTGTAGTTTGGAATAGTGATTTTTTTCAAGGTTATGTAATTTTGGAAATTTTATTTTTAAGACTAAAAATGTATAAATTTTAGCTGAAACTGCTGAAATTTAACAACCATTGTACATTATATATATATATAAACAATATGCACTATATGGAAACATGTGATATTGTATTGTTGATTTGTTCAAACATTGCGTGATTCTGTCCCTTACTGTTTAATGTTTATCACTGTAGAGGTTTATATCATCACATTTTCCTCCCTCACCACATGTTTTTTACAGTATATAAATGTCATACATGTTTACTTCAATCAGGATAATTCTGTTGATAATATTAATTATACAGAGAAATCCAACATTGATGTCTTATTTATAGAAACAGTGAATCTTGTTGATTCATGTAAACTCTGTTCACTGTTATATTCCTAAGCCTTCAAAATCATACCATCAATTTGTTCCCTTTTATATTTTTTCTCAGTTTTTATGTGAGTGTTTAGCACTAATGGCTACTTGTACCTAATTTAAATACATTGTGTGTATGACTACCTGTACTCCAATAGATTTTATAATGTGAGGATGTCCGTCCAAATAAGGATTAGGACAGTTTAGGTATGCCAGCTTTTTTCTGCTGTCCTTTTATGTAGTTATATACAGAGTTACTTCCCCTCAGGTCTGATGCTTTTATCTATTATGAAGTTATGCTTATGAAAGTTTGGCATTATGGTATACATGTGTATGTATATATTATTTCATCATATCACACTTCTAAATGTGTAATTAAAATAAGGGAGATAACTCTTCACCACACTACACATATAATGAGGTAAGGGAGGTAGCTATCATGCATATTACTTGTTACTAAGGTAAGGGAGATAACTCTTCATCACACTACACATATAATGAGGTAAGGGAGGTAGCTATCATGCATATTACTTGTTACTAAGGAGAGGGAGATAACTCTGCTAGATGTCACACATATAACTTGTAACTAAGGATACCTTAGACATAGAACAATCAATGTCACTCTACACATTTAAGTGCTAAAATTTTTTGAAGGGGGCCAAAAAGAATTATTGAAGTTTTTTTAAGTGGTGAGTTTGAAGAAAAAAATATTTATGAAGTATTAATTTTTGTTCTCCCTACTTTCATCTTTCATCTATTGTAATAGTGATAAAACATTTGATTTTAAGAATTTTGAGTTCATTGTTTACATTACACCAAAGTCTGGAAATATTTTCTGTCGTCAGTTTCTTTTGAAGCAAGTATTTTATTTAATATATATTAGATATTTACATCTATTTTAGCTTTTTGTAAGAAAAAAAACTTTATCAGTTTTGGTTACAGATGTATATTGTATTTGATTAATGTTTTGACAGGGTTGTGACTCACAATCATGTGACTGAATCCTCTGACTTCTGTTGATGGACAACAGTCATGTGACTTCAGTGGTCTCCTGTTTTTAATGACTTGGGCCTTGTGTCTGTAAGTCAACAAATAGTGTTGTTATTATTGAATAAATGTGAAATAATGATTAAGACTTGTTTTTTTATCAATTATCTACACATCAAGTTAATCTTTAGCACCTGAATCTGATGCATGTTGTCTGTATTTCTGTCTTCTGTCGGTCCTTTCTCTATCTTAATTGGGTTCCATCTGCTAACTTCCTGCTACTGGAATGTCAGACTTGGGGTATGGTTTCATCAGGTGAGGCATTGTATTATTGTCATAGTAAGTTTCTCTAATCTACATTTTCACCTTTCACCTTTCACATTTATCAAAGTAAAGGTTTATCTGAGCTCTATTTCCTACACTACTCGTCACTGGAACTTTATACATGGGGTAATTGTTTATTTTGGTATGGCAGTGTCTCATGTATCATAAGCAGGTCATTGTGACCTACATTTTGAACTTTGACCTACAGCAAAGAAGTGTATATGCTCATCTAAGGGCCATTGGAAACCTGTACATATGAAATTTGAGAAGTATCCGTCCTAAATTTCTCAAGATATAGCGTTAGACAACGACAGCAGTCGTAATCCAAGGTGGCATTTTTTGTTATTATAATCTGTCCCATACTGCAAAACACTTAAGTAGTGGAACTTACATAACTCTGAGCATTATCACAAATAGTTCTAAAAAATACCACTGACAAAACCCAACCAAAAACCAAAACGAACTTCAAGATGTCCAACAGTTGTCTTTTAATTTCCTGGTCAGTATTTAAAATTGAACAGGCACAATAACAGACTAAGATGGGACTTCACTTACTACAAGAGAAAAAATATTCTTGTACTTTATACTTTTGGAATTAGATGAAAATCCATCCGGAACTTCTCAAGAAGTAGCTTTAAATAAACTCCAACCAAATTCAATGTGACCGTCTATTTAACCATTTCGTTGTTCAAATTATTCCAAAGTTAAACATCCATAACTAAGAACCAAGGTAGATCTAGCACAGAAAGTTGTTGTAAATCCAATCAATACTTCTCTATAGTTATAATCAGATTAATTGTTTAGGTCATTCGGGCATATCCCAAACAAATGGCGATTTGAAAAGCCCATCGTCAGATGATGGTGATCTCAACATTCTGTTTGCAAGCTTTCACTGTAATATGACCTTTGTAACATCCTGCTGGGGACGTTCGACAGTACACTTCAGGGTGATAGCACTATATACTAGTCGCTGTCATCAGGAGACTTTATACTTACATGGCATACATTACACCACCATATCACAGGCTCCCACAAACACTCAGCACTTACACTCACCTGACATACATTACACCACCATAACACAGACTCCCACAAACACTCAGCACTTACACTCACCTGACATACATTACACCACCATATCACAGACTCCCACAAACACTCAGCACTTACACTCACCTGACATACATTACACCACCATATCACAGGCTCCCACAAACACTCAGCACTTACACTCACCTGACATACATTACACCACCATATCACAGACTCCCACAAACACTCAGCACTTACACTCACCTGACATACATTACACCACCATATCACAGGCTCCCACAAACACACACTCAGCACTTACACTCACCTGACATACATTACACCACCATATCACAGGCTCCCACAAACACTCAGCACTTACACTCACCTGACATACATTACACCACCATATCACAGGCTCCCACAAACACACACTCACGTGAAATACATAGAGAGGTTGTTCTTTAACCGCCATAGATGCTATAAGTACGTAAGGCAATGATCGTACCAAACAAAAATGCAGGATATTAAATCCGAAAACAGGCCAAATTTAATCCTCATACGAATTCAAAAACAGTTGTTGGTATCGCCACGATTTTCGTGAAACTTGCGTTCAAATCATCATAAAAATGGGCCAGGTTTCTAGTTGACGACACCTTCGTCGAGTTTGTTGATAGGATATTCCAACAAGTTACTGGTATACCTAAGAGAACTAACTGTAGCCCTTTGTTGACTATATTTGTTTTCATACAAACCTTAATTATGGAAGAGTGCACCTATACAGGTCACAAAGAGATCTTACAAAGTCGTTTAATTTCACTTCCATACATATTGATAAAGTCTTTAAAGTGATAAGAAATTTCATTACCACGTCTATCGTTTATATCCACAGGAATCAGAAATCGAGAACACGGGAGATTAAATCAGCCGGTTATCTCGATATTTTCTTACAACGAAACCAGCGTGGATGGACAGCTTTCCATGAAGCTGTATGATAACCATGATCAAATCATTATCTCTATCGTGAATTTCTGGATAACAACATTCCTGCATCCCCAGCCTTTGGTGTTTACACGTCACAGTTGATTCGATATTCAAAGGCCTGTTACCATCATCACAATTTTCGTACAAGAAGTCGTCAGCTGACTGATAAACTCATAGCCCAGTGTCTCAAAAGATGCAGGTTGATAAAACTTGCCTGTTAATTACGTTGTTGTATACCTTGTATACCATTTGAGAGACTGACACTCACTTGGATTGACCAATCGGAAGGCGCTTACTCTTTCGGTTCACCTGGTCTTATTCTCCTTGTACTTTTTCAGGAGTCTGCGCGTAAAACTTTTCTGTTTTTTTATTTATTTATCCCTAGTTTTATTGAATTTGAATTTGGATTATGATTTGATGCCACGTCATGATTTTCTGATTGTGGTAAATCTAAATAACAATATCAATACATAGTCAGGACGTTTTTACTTTTGACAAGGAGTCAACTCCAGACATTGAAGTTCTCTTGATATTCGGAAACAAACACCAAAAAGGATATAGCTTAATTATTTCATCTTCTTGAGATTAAGTGGGAGGATTGTAAATTAAGATGAATGTATCTTATCGAGAACTACACTGTATGTATGTCAACTCGGTCGCGATAACTGATCAAGAAGTCAACATCCCTCTAATTTCTGACAAGGACTTTGAGATGACACACTATATATCGGTCATGATAGTCTGGAGGTCCCGCGAAAGAGAGTTACTGTCAACATATTTACAAACTTCAAAGCCGGCACAGATTTATCTGAGGGGTCACTGTTTAAAGTGTCACCGAAATATTATGTCTTGGACATATTGACAGAATCCCTCACTCTGATCTCTGCTGACATCGGACTTGGCGCGATTTGATTGCTCAGCCCATTTAAAATTAGATCATCAAGCAGATAGGATTGGGTACAATATTAATGACTTGTAAAGCATTGGGACTGAACATTAAATCTTCCTCACACAGGCGAACGAAAAAACAAGACGGAAATACCAACATGTTAACATAATCATAATCAAAACACAAATCCCATAAAACTAGGGCAAAATATGGAAAAAGAAAGATTTACACGGAGATTCCTGAAAGCATAAGGCGAGTAAGACCAGGTGTTCCCAAAGAGTAAACGTCTTCTACTTCACCGACGATACCCACCATGTAAAACTTGGTCAATCCATGCAATGACGTTAGCTGCAAAACATATTAAAGAACTGAAAGTCTTTCTCACAAGCGCGAATGTTCAATAAAAGACCTAAAGTGAGACAATGACGAGGCATTAGGACATAGTGGGGTATAAAGAAGAGAGAATATCATAATCCCAAATTTAGTCACCTTCTGTGGTCATACAATGGAGGCATAATGTACATTCTTACCCACAAAAAGATGAAGTGAGCAACTTATATGTATGTTGATATAAACACGCTAAAATAACATTGTTGTAATGTAGACCATGGCCCAACTGGACACAATTAAAGTATTACACAAAACGTCAGCTACGAGAGCTTTCATGAAGGGCACAAATTTCGAAAAGCCCCTTCCATAAATGTGCATATCCATTTCAAAATATCAATGGATTCCATAGAATGTCAGATAGAAAGTGAAACGACAGCGCACTGAGCAGGATTCTCATGCAGTGTGGATTAATCCATTTATTCTGCCATTCTCAAAAGAGCCGGTAGCTTAAAATATTAAATGAATATGTGATATTGAAACAACACCTGACGATATGCATGGTGAAGATATATTATGGCGCCTGCTGATAAAACATATTGTAACACTTTTCTTCAAACACGATTATATTTACTACATACAGAAATAATTAGGCCCACCTACAAATTGTCTACTTTTTCCAGAGAAGATAAGACTATCGGGAAGTTTTAATTCTTTGTTAGAAATGAAGCTGAATGTGTGCGTTGCATGTATGCCTTGGATTGATATGATTCTCTTTATGTGTTATTCTTTGTTTTGTTAATATTTTGCCCTCGTTCTATTGAATTCTAGATTCTGTTGACATTTCGTTATTTTTCTATTGTGTATTTTTTCCACAACAGTCTTTCCAATTGACGAATAATTTCAGGGCGTATCGTGGAATGCTTGATTTCCCAAGCCTTTTTATGATTATGTTGTAATGTTACTTGCTCTTTTTTTCTATACTTTATTTATTTGAATCGGCAATTTGAAATTATATAGCATCAATAATGTAATTTGTCACGATTCTTTATAATTCTGAACATATTCACATCCAAAATGAACAATCCCCCCTTTCACACACACACACTTCCCACCCCCCTTACACGCACGCGCGCGCACGAACACACAAACACACGCTTTATTGTACACTTACCTATCCGAACTCCTACACCTGGTTCATCATTTCTATCTTCTAACATTTAAATGAATACATGCTATGCATAGATTTAAAACGCTTACACTCCCGTTATTAATTCGAAAGACCACGACTTTATTGTGAAATAGTTATGACGTTTAGTATGTGTCAGTACATGTCTGATCCTGGTCACGTACTAGTCAGCTGACGATAGAAGATCTTAGTACTCCCGAAACACCGCCTCTAACAACAGACATGAACAGTTTTATATTAATATCATTCGTAGCAGTCCTTTTCCCAGCTGCTTTAGGTAAGTTCTATTTTATATTTATCTACTTTTGAATATCGCATGGAAACAACTATATAGATTTCCACATTCGATTTTATGAGACTTTTCCTTAGATTGAACGAGCAGTAGTTCTGTTCTGATGTTTCTTGTATAAACTCAAAGCAACCATTTAACCATTTATCACTCAAACTTCATATTAAATGGTCAGTTGGAAAATAATTGATATTAACGGAAAGCCGATACAAGCAAACCGCTCGTTATTGCACGTTCATCTTTTCATTCATTTTTTTTCGATTTCATTAAGAGACATAGGGGACATAGTATCCAAGGGAAAGTTTTAAAAGTGAATACTGTATTACACAGTACAACTGTGTTTTTGTTTTTCATCTTTTTTGTTATTTTTAATTTATTGTTTTCTTCTATTGTTTTGTCTGTTTTATCGAAGTTTAAAGACATATGGATTTTAACGGGCAAATCCTGAAATTATTTTCAATGCTTTAATTGACATAAATGAAGCATGTATTCTAGAATAAACAACACATTGCAAGTTGGTATTTTGGTAATTATAAATAGTTATTTTTCTTAAAACTTATTTCTTCAATACAAATTATGTTTGCCAGTATATAATGCGGAGTGATAAGTGTGGTTCAATGTAGGCCGTTTTCATACCGCATGGTTACTGAAAACCTTATCAACCCTCCATCATCACACAGGAACTTTTAAGGAGTAAAGATCGAATTATTGGTATCATGAAATTAAGTATTGATACCTTTATAAAAAAAACACTAATCGGTTTTAAGGTCAATGGCAGATAAAAATATATGCTTATACGTTGTTCATAATCATATTCTCATCTTTGCTTTTTCCCTGGCTCTGTTAATCTTTCTCTATTCTTTTCCATTTTTTTCAACTCCCCTCTGTTTTGATATATATTTATTTTGATTACCAAACTTTAAGTCTATTATATTGAAAATATGTTGATTAATGTACTGTTTTCGGGAGAAGGCGTCAGTAAGTTGTTTTAACTTGTGCCTAATCCCGGTTGTTTGATGGCAATAAAAATACCACTAATTCAAATGGTTGATATCACTAAATATCCAGAATTAGTGACGTCATTAAATGAATTATTGATATTGGACCATCATGATGCTACTAAATTTCCGCAGACAATTTCAGCGACGTTTCGCTTGTATTATATTAACCTTAGTTTTAATCTATGAAAACATATTGACACTAGAAACACAATGTCTTACTATCCTCGTACTTGTTCCACTGTCTCGGTATATTTGCCTCGTTCATACTTGTCATGTTTGAAATCGATTTTGTTTATGTTCGAGACGGAGTGTATCGCTGGACTTTCATTGATTCTCTTTCTCCTGTAGATAGTTATGTTAATTTACTGGTTTTATACGTATTTATTATTTCATTTCCTATCAAACCTTCACTTTACAGCTTTCCCTTTTTCATAAGAATGCTCCCAAAAAAGGCGTTTGTGGCATTGTATCAATACACTCACATTCGAGGTTTACAGGTGGAATAAAATATCTACTTTTGGAACAAATGAAACTTTATCTTATAAGGAATCAAAACCTGCGCATAATATAGTAAATTTAGAACTTTGCTAGATTCACATGCAAAAACAATCTAAACAAATGAACTGGAACATAACGTTCTATATAGTATATGTTAAAGAATCTGTTTTGGGTCTTGCTTAATTTGTCTTCATAGGACATCAACAAAGATGAGAATTTAGGTTTTATCTCAAACAAAGTCCAAATACTGACCAGAATAAATATTTCCCTATATTCCCCTGATATACTGTAGATAACGTTTATCATTAGCAGCAAATTTGATTTCCGTGGTTTTATCACCATTCGTTATACTGGTTCTGTACCACCAGTGGAGCTATGATAACAATTCTTTATACTGGTTCTGTACCGCCAGTGGAGCTATGATAACAATTCTTTATACTGGTTCTGTACCGCCAGTGGAGCTATGATAACAATTCTTTATACTGATTCTGTACCGCCAGTGGAGCTATGATAACAATTCTTTATACTGGTTCTGTACCGCCAGTGTAGCTATGATAACAATTATTTATACTGATTCTGTACCGCCAGTGGAGCTATGATAACAATTCTTTATACTGATTCTGTACCGCCAGTGGAGCTATGATAACAATTCTTTATACTGGTTCTGTACCGCCAGTGGAACTATGATAACAATTCTTTATACTGATTCTGTACCGCCAGTGGAGCAGTGGAGCTATGATAACAATTCTTTATACTGATTCTGTACCGCCAGTGGAGCTATGATAACAATTCTTTATACTGATTCTGTACCGCCAGTGGAGCTATGATAACAATTCTTTATACTGATTCTGTACCGCCAGTGGAGCTATGATAACAATTCTTTATACTGATTCTGTACCGCCAGTGGAGCTATGATAACAATTCTTTATACTGATTCTGTACCGACAGTGTAGCTATGATAACAATTCTTTATACTGGTTCTGTAACAATTAACTTCTTTATACTGGTTCTGTACCGCCAGTGGAGCTATGATAACAATTCTTTATACTGATTCTGTACCGCCAGTGGAGCTATGATAACAATTCTTTATACTGGTTCTGTACCTACAGTGTAGCTATGATAACAATTCTTTATACTGATTCTGTACCGCCAGTGGAGCTATGATAACAATTCTTTATACTGGTTCTGTACCGCCAGTGGAGCTATGATAACAATTTTTTATACTGATTCTGTACCGCCAGTGGAGCTATGATAACAATTCTTTATACTGATTCTGTACCGCCAGTGGAGCTATGATAACAATTCTTTATACTGGTTCTGTACCGCCAGTGGAGCTATGATAACAATTCTTTATACTGATTCTGTACCGCCAGTGGACTGATTCTGTACCGCCAGTGGAGCTATGATAACAATTCTTTATACTGGTTCTGTACCGCCAGTGGAGCTATGATAACAATTCTTTATACTGATTCTGTACCGCCAGTGGAGCTATGATAACAATTCTTTATACTGGTTCTGTATACTGGTTCTGTACCGCCAGTGGAGCTATGATAACAGTTCTTTATACTGATTCTGTACCGCCAGTGGAGCTATGATAACAATTCTTTATACTGATTCTGTACCGCCAGTGGAGCTATGATAACAATTCTTTATACTGGTTCTGTACCGCCAGTGGAGCTATGATAACAATTCTTTATACTGATTCTGTACCGCCAGTGGAGCTATGATAACAGTTCTTTATACTGATTCTGTACCGCCAGTGGAGCTATGATAACAATTCTTTATACTGGTTCTGTACCGCCAGTGGAGCTATGATAACAGTTCTTTATACTGATTCTGTACCGCCAGTGTAGCTATGATAACAATTCGTTATACTGGTTCTGTACCGCCAGTGGAGCTATGATAACAATTCTTTATACTGGTTCTGTACCGCCAGTGGAGCTATGATAACAATTTTTTATACTGATTCTGTACCGCCAGTGGAGCTATGATAACAATTCGTTATACTGATTCTGTACCGCCAGTGGAGCTATGATAACAATTATTTATACTGATTCTGTACCGCCAGTGGAGCTATGATAACAATTCTTTATACTTGTTCTGTACCGCCAGTGTAGCTATGATAACAATTCTTTATACTGGTTCTGTACCGCCAGTGGAGCTATGATAACAATTCTTTATACTGGTTCTGTACCGCCAGTGTAGCTATGATAACAATTCTTTATACTGATTCTGTACCGCCAGTGGAGCTATGATAACAATTCTTTATACCGGTTCTGTACCGCCAGTGGAGCTATGATAACAATTCTTTATACTGATTCTGTACCGCCAGTGGAGCTATGATAACAATTCTTTATACTGATTCTGTACCGCCAGTGGAGCTATGATAACAATTCTTTATACTGATTCTGTACCGCCAGTGGAGCTATGATAACAATTCTTTATACTGGTTCTGTACCGCCAGTGGAGCTATGATAACAATCCTTTATACATTTAATCACAGGCTGGCGATGTGGATTTTAAAACCTAGATATCAATCACATGGTTACAACGTGTATTTTAAGTCCTAGAAATTAATTACATGTTGGCAATGCGTATTTTAAGATCTAGAAATTAATGACATGATAGCAATGTGTATTTTAAGACCTAGAAATTAATTACATGATGGCAATGTGTGTCTTAAGATCTAGAAATTAATTACATGATGGCAATGTGTATTTTAAGACCTAGAAATTAATTACATTATGGCAATGTGTATTTTAATACCTAGAAATTAATTACATGATGGCAATGTGTATTTTAATACCTAGAAATTAATGACATGATAGCAATGTGTATTTTAAAACCTAGAAATTAATTACATGATGGCAATGTGTATTTTAATACCTAGAAATTAATTACATGATGGCAATGTGTGTCTTAAGATCTAGAAATTAATGACATGATAGCAATGTGTATTTTAAAACCTAGAAATTAATTACATGATGGCAATGTGTATCTTAAGATCTAGAAATTAATTACATGATGGCAATGTGTATTTTAATACCTAGAAATTAATTACATGATGGCAATGTGTATTTTAAGACCTAGAAATTAATTACATGATGGCAATGTGTATTTTAATACCTAGAAATTAATTACATGATGGCAATGTGTATTTTAATACCTAGAAATTAATTACATGATGGCAATGTGTGTCTTAAGATCTAGAAATTAATGACATGATAGCAATGTGTATTTTAAAACCTAGAAATTAATTACATGATGGCAATGTGTATTTTAATACCTAGAAATTAATTACATGATGGCAATGTGTATTTTAATACCTAGAAATTAATTACATGATGGCAATGTGTATTTTAATACCTAGAAATTAATTACATGATGGCAATGTGTATTTTAAGATCTAGAAATTAATTACATGATGACAATGTGTATTTTAAGACCCAGAAATTAAGTACATGATGACAACGTATATTTTCTGTCTTTTTTCCTTACTTTGTAGATATGCATTTGTTTACATTAAGCTACACTGGTGTTTATTTTTCGCCTGCCAGGTCAGCTAGATGTATGTACGTCTGATTCTGAGTGTTTGCTGACTGGTTATCACTGCTGTAAAGACACGCCCTTTTGTTGTGAGGATGGGTACATGTGTACTGGATCAGGCACGTGCATCAGTTATGGGTATATATCATATAACTACAATGTTGTCAGTGTTATAATCCCTATTGCACAGTTATTTAACATGTGTAATGTGACAAACGACAGCTGTAAGTTGTCATTGTTTCCTTTGAGACTTCATATGCATTGTGACATCACAAAAAAGTAAAGAACGAAATATTTCTGATTTAAGTACCAATTTGATAAAATGCTGTTTTCACGAATGTTTGTACAAGAATATCAACAATGCAATACATATATAAACACAGTCGTATATTCGTTGCCATAGTTTATGGACTTTATGACACGCGTTACGAATTTCTCATTTTACCTCGTTGAGGCTCAATAAAATGAAAAAAAACTCGTTCATAAGTCTCATTTAGATGGAAACTCGTGTGAGATCCACTATATATTTCATTTACTACTATAAACGATTTTTTATTTTAAGATGTTCGTTGCTTTTTTCGATAGGACCCAGTGTAACCATAGAATGGTAATTGAGAAGTTGGATATAAATTGTTTGTGAAAGAATTTTGCCAATATAGATATTACTTATCTTAATGTTAGAAATGTTGGAACGAATAACTTCAGATTTATGGCATTGGGTTCCATTTTGTCATTGTAAAGTTAGAACATTACCTTGGCAGACATTGTATGTGGACTTAAAGTCCCTGAGGTTTGCCATTACCTGCTTGTCACATTTTCATTGATGACATGTTCCAGAATGTACACATGAACTTGACGTTACTCTTCATTCTCAGGTATATGAAAATTACAAATATTGAATTTTCGAGCTAGTGTACCCATCAATTTAGGTTTTGACTTTTCTTGTGATCATTTTAGATATTCTTAACTCGCCTCTAGGCATTAGACCCTAGCATCACTGACGCGTCCTGAAAGGTGCTAATCAGTTGTGTGTCTTTAGTAAAATCTTGAATAAAAATAACGTTCTGATATAGACTTAAACAAATCTTACGAAAGCCATTATTGCTACAAAAATCTCCACATGTTGTCCGAATGAGTTTCCAAAACAAATAGCATCTACACATCAAGGTTTACAACGGAAGACTAATTATTTATTGATACAAACACACCTGTTACGTTACAAACCTCTAAAAGGGTACAGAAACTATACAAATATACGGCAACAAAAAATAATCGCTTCCAAATTTCCAGTTTTATGATCGAAAAGTACAAGGATCATCTCGTCAGAGTAAAACTGCTATTTTTTCTATTATTCAATAATGAATGTTCGTTGTGCTTGATACTGTAAGTAGTAACGAAGTCAGAAATTTGTATTTCAGGTTTGAATACATAAGGAGATCTCAAAATCATATTTTTTATTTGTCAGTGAACTTTTTCAGAAATTCTAAAACGGCACATCGATTTGCTATAAATGTAAAAAGTAATACGTCCTATAAAGGTCATATCAGCTGTTCAGTACTATGTATTTATTATTGTTTCGTGTTAAACTGACATTATCTAAGCGGTGCTCCATCAGTCAGACATGAGCAGCAACATGGAATGACTTATTTATCTGTTTTTGGATTTAAACGGTTAAAAGAGAGGGTGCATCCTTGATTCATTTTTACTCTATTTGTTCCCTGATAAATACACTTTGTTTCAGTGTCATCATTGGACCTTGTGTTGGATTCGTCGTATTAGCAATCGGTATCGCGTTCTTCATATACAGAAGGAAGTGTAAGTATAGAAAATGTCGTATTAGCAATCAAAATGAGGTAGAAGGAGGAATAATTGGAATAGAATAACATAAACTCAACATTGTTCTCAGACTCTAACGGCCTTCTTGAGGTCTTCAGGCCTGCAGAGTCGAAGAAGGTATAAAGGCCATTTTTGTTATTTTAGCCCAAAAATTCGTCCAGTATATACACCATCCTCTATTTTTACTCCAGTGGATAAGTCGGTATTGCTCTCTACATCTATGGAACATGTCATGGAAAACTTGAAGGCACAAGCAAAGTAATTTAATTGGTCTATAGTGGGTTCCAGAACTTACTAATCACAGGTTGATACACTCCTTAGAAGATTACAAAGGAGCGACACCCAATTTCAAAGTCATTACGTCCAGATTTGTTTGATGTACATCAAAGAATCATACTAGTCTTGTCCACAAGGTGTCAAATATGGAACCCTTCCATTTTGCCATGACATGTTCCAGGGATGCAATGAGCAATAGTGAGTGTAACCCCTGCAGTATCGAGGATGAGAGAGCGATAGTGCGTGTAACCCCTGGAGTATCGAGGATGAATATATACGCAATGGAAATTTAATCTTCAGCAGCACTAAATAAGTTCTTGTCAAAAAGGCATCAAAGGTAGAGAGCTAACTTAACTCTTAATCTTAGTTAAAAAAATTGTGGAATTATTATTATTATTTTTTGTAAACATGTTTTTTCTTTTGCAGGCCGCAACAGGAATGTATAGATCATATGAATACCCATGTCCTGAAAAATCCTTCATGTGGGGAAGGCATACAACTCTTCCGTCTTTCTTGCATCTTTATATCACCATCATGCTGAATAGGATTTTTGTATAGACGAATGATATTGTTGACATCAAGGTTTAGTGTTAGTGTTGTTTGATCATCCCTTGTCTGCAGTAGGAGTAAGTTACAGTGTATACTGATATACCCAACAGTTAAATGATTGCGCGCTAAAATCTATTTAACTCTGTCGCTTCTTTAAACGTTTAGAATCTGTCTTGGTGAAATCGAAAACTGTAGCTGGCATGTGTTGATGTTACTAGCTAATCTGATCTTTGTGTTTTATCGTATTAATCTCAATAAATAATTACATATCGTACTTAATGGTTGTCATACTGTCCTTAATTAATGACTTTTCCCAAAAACTTGAAGTAGAGATCTATATAATAATATTACTAATACACAGCCTCCTACTCAGGAATATAGTATTGTTGTCAGCTATTTTTGTAGCTATGATTGGTAATGTTGTTAGCTCATTGTATTGAATCCCAGTGTTTCTTATATTTCTGTCATATTGGGAGATGGTGTTTGTCCCAGGACAGTGTCATATTGGGAGATGGTGTGTGTCCCAGGACAGTGTCATATTGGGAGATGGCATGTGTCCTAGTATAGTGTCATATTGGGAGATGGCATGTGTCCTAGGACAGTGTCATATTGGGAGATGGCATGTGTCCTTGGACAGTGTCATATTGAGAAATGGCATGTGTCCTAGGACAGTGTCATATTGAGAGATGACATGTGTCCCAGGACAGTGTCATATTGGGAGATGACATGTGTCCTAGGACAGTGTCATATTGAGAGATGGCATGTGTCCTAGGACAGTGTCATATTGAGAGATGACATGTGTCCCAGGACAGTGTCATATTGGGAGATGACATGTGTCCCAGGACAGTGTCATATTGGGAGATGGCATGTGTCCTAGGACAGTTTCCATGATACAACAGAGATGATTGTTTTTCCCCTAGTACTTTTAGTAGGTATTAAACTTGGGATGTCTGGGTTACTAGACTAACACTCTGTTTACGGAATTATCTCGGAAACATGTTGTATTTTACGTGCATGGAACATACATCCCTCATGGAAGGAACCCGTCTTCGAATTTCCAAAGATAACACAGACTCGTATTGAACAAGATTAAAAACTAATGACGATATTTCATGGCTCCGTGCATGATGTAAGTGCAAATGACTGACATTGGGGACACTGGAGGAAGACTCTTAATTGACGTGGTTCATATCAATGTTGTGTTCATAAACTGGTTCCTATGTGTCACTGTCCCTTTCCATTTACTCACGCTGACTGTTGTTGAATACACAATGTAAATTTAAACTGCAAAACTATAGTCCGTATCTCTATCGGATTCGTTATATGAAAATCCCTTGAAAACAAGATTTTGTTAATCAATCTTATTTAAAATAATAAAAAAAACACAAGTGGATAAAGTTTTCATACAAATCTCGAATAATATGCAATGTTGTCAAACTATTAAACTGCATCGTAAAGCTGTTTCGCCCTTCTAGGTCGTGTAAGAGTTGTTAAGAACCTCAAGTAAGTATCGGAAATTTGACCGTGAATATGTCAAGATACACAAGATGTATCATCCCCCATAACAAACAAAGTCATAAATTTCAATTCTGGTACATTTCAAAAGAGTGTGTTGTTCACATAAATTGTTTATAATCTTAATCGTTCCGCTATTCAAATGAACTGAAACTTGGCATGCGTAGGCTAACTAATGCAGAACTATAGATAGATGACTTTCTAGAAACAAATGTCATTACCATTTATTAAAATTTATTAAACAGCTCAAGAATTCCTGATAATTGATTTATTTCATATACAAACTTGTCGAACTTCGTAATTCCCAACAATAGTACATATAATGTTTCTAAAAACTCCGCCACTGTGTGTACGAGTACATAACAATGTGATGAATAAAGAAAATAGACAAGTTAGTGAATACAATAACATTCACATATAAAAGTGTTTTATACAATCTAGATTATATGAATTTCAAGCAAAGCGCAAAAAGTACAATGAAAATACCGACATCGTAATGAAATCTTAATTCAAATTAAAAGCTGATGAAGCGAGAGGGAAAATACAACAAAAATAGACATCACCTGTTTCATACAACATAGATATATATACATACTAACACAAACACTCACTAATAAACAAACACAGGTATCATCCGTAAAATTATTGTTTGGTAATGTATTATGATATGATATTTTTGATTTTTGATATTGTACATTGCACATGTTTACAAAATGTATATTACATATATACATTTATATCTATTCATGCTAATCCGTCATTATGTCAGTCATTATTACCTGTTCTTGTGAGCAGGTATTCATTTGACATGTGAGAGTAACATCATTCCGTAATACAGAGAGTTACCTGTTCTTGTGAGCAGGTATTTATTTGAACATCATATGTGTGTGAGAGTGACATCATTCCGTAATACAGAGAGTTACCTGTTCTTGTGAGCAGGTATTCATTTGAACGTCATATGTGTGTGAGAGTAACATCATTCCGTAATACAAAGAGTTACCTGTTCTTGTGAGCAGGTATCTATTTGACATGTGAGAGTAACATCACGCGAAATCGATTTAATTGTCTGACGTAAACTAATGATGAAACAACCAATACCCCGCTTACTAGAGCAGATAACTTTGCAGTACTAAAACAATACTGTAGCAATCTAATCATATTTGAAAGTAACACCGTGTTACATCGGGCTATGGTTAGGATTTCTTTGTTATAACTAGTAAAACAGACCAATGGTGTAAGTTGTTATATGTCCTCAAACGGAATCCTTTTGATTCGTTGGCGCAGTGCACCTCCGGACAACCTCCACTGTGATAAATATTGCAGCTGATATAAAAGAGGTAGCTCCCATGTACTGGAGGCTAACAATATAGGAATCAGTCAGATCCCGCAGGTAACCTGCAAATACAAGAGTATCAATTATTTACAAGCGACATTTAAGTGAACAACTCCACTTAGAATTTAGCACTGTTGCATAATAATGATTTTAAAAACATCATACAGCTCTACCGTCTTTCTTGGACTCTCTTCAGTGATGATAGGAGCTTATATTGTTGAAACTTATGAAGCGACCGAGACAAATTGATAGAATTAGATGTCAAAATCCAGATAGGAAGATATACTTACCCAGTACCCAGTAATTAAAAAACATAATATTCAATTCTGAACCAGATCAAAAGAAGATCATGTACATGTGTATATTTTAAACCGCGCCAAATGAAACCAAACCACAGGAACTAAAAGGCCAACAATAGTGTCTACCACTTACAATCTCGAAGATTGTAAAAAGATACAAATAAAAAATTAGATATGGTGGAGCCAATTTAACAAAGACACCTGTCTTATACAGCTGCTACGTCCTTCTAGAGGTCAATGATGATTACCTACCACATAATTCAAAACGTCACAATATTCGATATTGAACGTCATGTGTATATATTCTTACCGTGCCATTATTTAAACAAAAACCTAGCATTCATAAAGGATTCACACTTCACCATTTTCTATAACAAGAAATGCTATAATAATAAAGAAATAAGTTACACATTCTCTAAGAAATAATTAGTTTTCATTTTAAATTATCAACGTTTTTGCAATATTGGATAAGTTTACTGGTTGTAGGACGAAGAGCATCAAGAACCAATTACAATGAACAACGGTAAGAGGTGTTTCAATGTGACATATTCTCACACTCAAAATGTTAAAACGTTTAAAAGAAGCGTTTCAAGGTTCCAAAATGCGTTTGTTTGAGTTACATTGCAAAAGTGAGCAGTGCGGAAGGCAGATGTCCCTCCGCTCCAAAATCTCCTATGTTTTATACTTGTATAGGTTGATTTATTGCCAACGGAAATTTTCTTGGTCTCCACCATCCCTGAAGAATTCCTAGAGGAAGGAGTGTTATTCATAAACGTTTACCCCAATCGTGAAATTCTGTGGACATGTCGGAATTCCCTTGTAGTTTTGTACTTTGTTTTCCGACACATATTAATTATTCTTTTCATAAATCGTTCGACATCCATGAATTTTTCCATTTTACACCTATAACTATTTACTTACTCAAGATGGAAAAGGAAACTCAAGGAAACTTATAATTACCCATAAATGATGCGTTGCCACCGATCCAGACGCCTTGAAGAACTAACACGACAAGCATCCCATTTGGAAAGTTTGTCAGGCCTACCATTTCTATCATTATAGGTGAAAAGAGGGTGAACAGAGCACCCCCAACCAATCCGTAGAGAACTGCAAACACCACCAGAAGATAGAAGTTATTGAACACTGGAGAAAATATCATCATTGTTCCTACTATAAACTGTGACGCTGCCACCAAATAGGTCTTCCTTATCCAAGGAACGTCGGCTAGCGTTCCAGCAACAATCCGGCCGAAGAAATCGGCAAGACTAATCACCGATGCTACAGTGGCCACATTCTGATCACTGATTCCGATATCACGTGCGTACGCCGGCACAAAGATGTGGTTGAAAGCAGGAGCTAAACTGCCTAGGCAATGCGCAAGAACAAAGGCTAAAAAGTACTTATTGCGAAATAAGTTACAGTTGAAAATATCTCGTTCTGTTAGATATCGACAGAGTCGCCAACATCCTTGAAGAGGTTTCTTTGTTTGGTCTTTTACTTCCTCTTGCTGTGAGTTAATCCGCATAATATCCATGTCTTGGAGTGAAAGTGAAAAGATGTCCCCATTACTTAGATACCGAGTGAAACTTGACAATGATAGGACGGATGATGACCCCTTATTTTCGCTGACAGATGACGTCGGGTCTATGTGACCGGGACTATAGGAGATACTCCTTACACGGAAGTTAGTTTTGCCCATCGTTTTATCCTCCGTAGACAACACAGGTTGTGAGAGTGAAATATTGGTACTGTCATCTACTCCAGGTATATGGTTGTCTTTATCACCGAGAAGCTTTTCCTGTTGTTCTTTACATTCGTTACCGACGCCCAATGTTTTGCTGGGTTTGCGAGCTTTCTTCTTGCTGTAGAATTCGGTTGGTCTGAGGAGACAGGCTGCTGTCACACAGTTGAGTGATATACCAGATGTCAGGAGTAATGCTCCTCTCAGTCCATACTCATCAAATAGGTACCGGAACAGATAAGGCAGAATGAATCCTCCCAAGGAGTTCCCGGAGGCGACTATCCCCATAGCAAAGCCCCTTCGTTTCTTAAAGTATTTTCCCAGAATAATCATATTAGGCGCATTGATGCCCGCACTCATAGCTCCTTGAAACCGACAGAAAATAAATGAATTTGTCACAAAATAGTATACATCATTACATAACATACCGTATAGCTGCTTATTTTCTTGGGTCAAAATCTTATCTTATAAAGCGATCGTATCATTATTCTACCTAGTGAAAATTTTGCGACCTGATGTAAAATGACATCTTAGGCACTCGTGTCTCATTATTTCAAGGAATAAATTTTCTCGATCACGTTAGTGTACCGCGAAATAGTGGAAATATCACCCCTTCCGAAAATTGCCGACGATATGGTGTCCTTTTTATCACTACAGAATGACTGGAATACCTTGACAACATTCTAATTCGACATACTAATAAAGATTTCGTCATGTTCATGAGGTTAACCGTTCATGTTATAAAATATTATTTAGTATAAGTTGAGAAAGGCAACCTGTGAACATTGCACGGAGTTTCAGTAAAATTTCAATGATAAATAAGGTTTAAATGTTATTTTTAAAATATACAGGACAGAAAAGTTGACGGGAAAGTGGGCTTATTTCTACCATAGCAGTCTATGGCAAGGACATCGTACCGAATAACAAGCTTTGAGTAAAGTAGAGGAAGGTTATACTATCCGCTAGACTGCTCAATCCATAACTAAGCGCACATCCAAACGTAGCCAGTATTGCAAGGTTGCGAGTGTCATATCTCTTGATGTAAATGGCGAGGACTGGTACCGCTGCAAAAATACATCATCAACATTGTGAGAGCATGTTTTTACGTCATTAAAAATATGAAACAGAACATATTTCATGGATACGTCTTCTCAATTTTAATACAGAACGTGTTTGTTATATTTAGGTCATCAGAAATGTGCCATGGAGCATGTTTTCATATTAAGAACCGTTCGACCATTTTAATGGTTGTTATTGATCTGAAATAAACGCTGTAATAATGATGGATTTTATGAGATTCATGTGGTAATTTTATGGTAATTCGATCTTATTTTCTCCGAATATCATAACCATACAATAATTTTAAGACAATATCTATATAGAGTTTGATATGAGATTCCAATTGATAACTTAATTTATCAAAATATACTAGTTTTTCCTGAAGCAAATTAAAATGAAAGATTCGTGACGAATTTCATAACTTTAGGGATTAGCACAGAGTAAGCCGACAGATCAATTAAATTCTATCATGTTCTTATTTCGTACAGCAATGATGATAGGTGACTAAAGTGACCAAGACAACTTAAAGGAAAATTAAATCCGATCAAAAGAACTCTTGAAGTGCTGCTTTAGTTTAATTTCGTTTCACCACTAAATTTACAAGAATGTATAGCACAGGTAATTTGGAATAGAACAAAAATACGCTACACACTTGTATATATATGACTTTATGGTTGAATGAACACTTACATGCTCCACAGTACGCGACAGTTTGAAGTGTCGTGATTAGTGTCGTGGCAGATACAGAAGCTTTAAATGTCTTGAGGAACTCTATAAAAAAGATTCCGTATGATTTGGCAATACCGATCACGATAAAGGCGATAAACCAGGTAGCTGCAAAACACAGAAGGTGCGATTTAATAGTTATGTGTTCATGGTATTTCTTTGAACAGCATTTAAAACGTATTATTACGCATTCATGAAAAAATTTCTTTAACATATGCTAAACATCAGATTTGTACAATAACTTACCAGGACAAAAAGGCAAACTAGGGCAAAATTTGAACAAAAGAAAGATTTAAACGCAGACCCCAGAAAAGTGTAAGGAGATTGTACAAATAAGACACACAATATAAATAGCACCTATAAAACAACTTAATTAAATAAATTTCTTAGTTAAGGTATACATATGTATCTTACAATTTTTAAACAAAGTGAAATACAAGTGTATATTTTGAGTCGTGTTACAATTAAATTAATTAAAACGTGGCATGCACGATGCGGGAAACCTCATAGACTAAAAGTCCATCAGGATTGCCTTCCACCAGCACTATCGAAGAAAGACACACAAATGATTAGCGTATATAAATAAAAAATAGAGTAAGATACAGTAGAGCCAAACAATGATATCATAATGCTTCCGAATTAGGCCAGATTTTCTGGAAAGTCTCTGCATCATCCACTATGATAATCTTGGTAAATCCAAGTGAGCAATGGTACGTTCCCAAATCTCTGAACCAAAAATTTCGAACATAGTTTCGTGATTACTGTCAATTTCTCCAACATTTAAATGTTATCCGTGACATCTGATAATTAATTGATATTGGAACAGGCCTTATTAACAAAAATAGAACGAAATGATTCACGCCCACTTCATACTAACAAAATATGTATTCTTGAAACGTAGAACCAAAGATGACTCACACCCACTTAATAATAAACAAAACATGTATTATTGAAACGTGCAACTCAAGATGACCCACGCCCACTTAATACTAACAAAACATATATAGTTGAAACCTACAACCCAAGATGACCCACGCCCATCCTTTGTCTATAGGATGGTCCGGTTCCTCTTCCACCTTCTTCCCTTCCTCCACCTTTGTCTCGTTATCTGCCATGGAATTCCTCACACTGTTCACACCGTTCACTTCACCATTTCTATTCTTGCCGTCCGTCGCCATATCCTCTAGTTTAAGTCACGATGAGCGAATTTCTTGGAGATGTTTTTTAGAGATGTGGAGATGTCCAAAAGACTTAACAAGGATTCGTGACATTTTCTGTGAATATATATGATTATTGAAAATATTTCTCTTCAAAATGAAAACGAAATTCCATCCCATGGATGTATACAATTTTACAGCAAGTCCAGTTTTTATATCAAGTGCTATTCTATAAGGCTATCTGCTGTCATGTTCTTTAATATCTTTAGCATCTTTAATAGCTGACACGGCCAACGATATATCCAGCCGGACTACGAACATTACCAATGACCTTCAAACATCAATATGAATGTGATCAAAAGCAACGATAAAGACTAGATTGTAAATAGAAACAGAAAGAGAAAGTACACTATATTTAGATTTCAGATCTAGGATGTATACATCACAAGTTCTAAATCCAGTTAAACAAAAATTAAACACATCAGAATAGTGATACAAAACAAAACATTCACATAACAAGAAAAATAGACTTAGAGACGGACTAATGTAGAACCTTCAAATTTGCAACATAGAAACGCTGAGGTAATAAAGCAAGACTACAGACGTGAAACAGAAGTATTACGTCACACGAGAAAATGGACTACAGAGGTTGTGAAGTTGAACCTTCAAGCATAATACTAAATAAAAACATTATATCAAGACTATAGACACTAATGAGAAATCACACGTCACTCAACGACTATGGATATGAAAAGAAACACTAAGTCAGAAAACATATAGACGCTAAATTCAACATAAAGACAAAAAAGGATATAAGAGAGAATTCCTGATAAGAAGCCTATCTCTTACTAGATATAACAATTTGTCAGTAAAATTAATTAATGCAGACACTGCGTTATAGTAACTACGAATTGCATAAGCATTTTACAAGGAAAAAAGGCACCCAGTGGAAATTTTAGAGAGAGAAATGGAGAATCCATACTATTTTACCAAATCACACTTGATACAAACTGTTGATAAAAAGTATTAAAGTTAATATTATGAACAGAAAGCTCTCAGAATAAGTTGCTTCCTTGTGTCATTATTATCTAAATTCATATTATGTTTTTTAAATGTAAATAGTGAAGTAATCCGCCATTATCAGATAAGACATCTGAGGTAAACAGTTGTTAGAGATAGTCACCTACCAACCATTCCTAATTTCGTCAGTCGACAAGGACCCAAAACGCACATTTGTATGCTACTACCACAGATGTTTACACAAGTAGAGTAATTTATTTCGTCAGTTTTCAAACATGACGAAACTGATCTTATCTTGGTAGGTCAAGGTGAATAAACGTACTATGCCTAGGATTACCGACTTTATCAAAGTCTACCTTGGTAAGTGACATACCTATATTACAATTAGTGTGACTGACCTATTATTTTCTAACCATGGTTACTGACCTATTTATATTATACCTAGTGTTACTGACGTCAACTCATTCTGTCTAGGATTACCGACTTTCTTACAATTGCCTTAGGGTTAATGACCTATCGATATTACAACAAGTATTCCTGACCTATTTACATCATTCATAGTAACATACACAAGTCCTGCTTAGATTGAATGACCTACTTCTGATCTACCTAGGGTTGGTGGCCTGCCTTGGGCTTCTGTCCTACTTAGGGTTTTACCTAGGGTTGGTGGCCTACCTTAGGTTTATGTTTTACCTAGGGTTGGTGGCCTACCTTGGGCTTCTGTCCTACTTATGTTATACCTAGGGTTGGTGGCCTACCTTGGGCTTCTGTCCTACTTATGTTTTACCTAGGGTTGATGGCCTACCTTAGGCTTATGTTTTACCTAAGGTTGGTGGCCTACCTTGGGCTTTTGTCCTACTTATGATCTACCTAGGGTTGGTGGCCTACCTTGGGCTTCTGTCCTACTTATGTTTTACCTAGAGTTGTTGGCCTACCTTTGGCTTCTGTCCTACATATGTTTTACCTAAGGTTGTTGGCCTACCTTGGGCTTCTGTCATACTTAATTTTTACCTAGGGTTGGTGGCCTACCTTGGGCTTCTGTCCTACTTATGTTCTACCTAGGGTTGTTGGCCAACCTTGGGCTGCTGTCCTACTTAAGTGCCAACTAAAGTTACTTACCATATTTACACTCTTTCTATGGTTAGTAATCTTTTTACGTTCTACCTAGGGTTAAAGATCTAAAATGATTCTACGTATGGTTAATGACTTTCTTTCGTTATACACATGCTTTGAAACCAAAGGTCAGTGACCTATATACGTTTCCATTCGAGCTACTGACCATTTTTATGTTCTACCTTTGCTTAGTGACTTCCTTACGTTCAACCAAATGTTAGAGAACTGCATACGTTCTATCTTTGGTTAGAGAACTGTTCAAATTAGGTTTAGTTACCTACATACCTTCTGCCTTTGATGGTGACCTTCATACCTTCTCCCTAGGGTTACTGAACTACATTCGTTCCAATTAGGGTTTGTGACCTGTATACTTTCTACCTTTGGTTGCTGACCTACATACGTTCTCCTTAGGATAACTGAACTACATTCGTTCCTATTAGGGTTTTTGACCTACGCGCTTTCTATCTTTGTTTGGTGACCTACACACTTTCTCGCTAGGTTTAGTGACCTATTTATATTCTACCTATGGTTCATCTCTTAAACACCTTCATAAGGTTAGAGATCTACACACGTTCTACATAGGATTATTGACCTGCGCTCAACCTAGATTTATTGGCTTACTTATATATTGCCTAGGGTAAAGACCTGACATTCTACCTAAAATACGTTTAAGTCTGTTTTATTGACCTACTTACATTATATTTAGTTTTAGCGACCAATAAGTTCTATATAAGGTTATTGACCTACTTACGTTCTCGTCAGTGTTATTAACCTTTTTACGTTCTGGTCATTGTTAGTGACCTACTTACGTTCTGGCCATTGTTAGTGACCTACTTACTTTCTGGTCAGTGTTATAAACCTTCTTATGTGCTGGTCAGTGTTAGTGACCTACTGATAATACTTGTTAATATGATGTATCTTGCATACAATGAAAGTGTATATTCGCTATTTTCTGAGAAGTTCTGATTTGGGTTCTTGAAATGTCCTATGTATGATTTCTCTTGATGTCTAGTTGTGCCGTTTTGATTATGTTAGTGACCTACTTAAGTTCTGTTCTTTGTTAGTGACCTACTTACGTTCTGGTCATAGTAAGTGACCTACTTACGTTATTCTTAGTTTAGCGACCAATAAGTTCTATATAAGGTTATTGACCTACTTACGTTCTCGTCAGTGTTATTAACCTTCTTACGTTCTGGTCATTGTTAGTGACCTACTTACGTTCTGGTCATTGTTAGTGACCTACTTACGTTCTGGTCATTGTTAGTGACCTACTTACTTTCTGGTCATTGTTAGTGACCTACTTACATTCTGATTTGTTTTACTGTCCTGCTTACATTCTCTTTGTTTTACTGACCCTAATAACTTTCTGCCTAAGGCCATTGACTTACGTACGTCACAATCAATGATATCAACTGATTTATCTGTAAGATAAACGTTATGTATTTTGTTTACCTAGCTACAGAATTTTACATATATATCTACTTCTTCGTCTATCTTCTGATAATAAATTATTTTCATTAGGAAAACTTACGAAATTGTCTGTCACGTGGAATAAATACATATTCCTGTTGATACAAGCATTAAAGAAAAGTTATCTTAACTGATATTTACTTCAGGGCAAACTGCCTGGATAAACACAATGGTGTACGCAACTGTTAGTCTGGCATAAACTACTAGCAATAATCATGTCCATTAATTTCGAATGAATATCCACAAAAGTTGATAAACATGTAAGTATGTGTGACGTTGTATATAAAACATACATGTAATATCCAGACAGTGTATTAAACTTACCTGCTGTCTGCTCCCCCGATAACCAAGTATCTCGACCCGGATCATCTTGACCTTGTGTACCACGTTCTGGACTTTCGAGATAAGTTCATCAACATTACAGTCAGCATTTATATCTGGGTACACGTGTGTGTTTGATGACACGTGCAATAATAAACTTTTAACGCCTTTTTTATATATAAAGATGTTTGGGAAAAGTGGACTGCTCATACTTTTGAAACTGTGGCGACGAACTCTGCTGGAATGCACTCTCTCTTCCCCCCCATCTTCTACGAAAATTGTGATACTAGGATATATCCCTGAATATTTACCATTATTTGGCGTTGCCAGTATATGACATTACCAAACTCAGTTGTGCTTTATCAAATGATATCTGCCAACTGACCTATGAATTTTAACAATAATGTCAACAAATTTAGGTTAGCTCCCCTTGTAGTTACATGGCGAGATTTGACAGTTGTCAATAATTTTAATAGATGTAGTTTTTTTTGCAATTTTGCTCGCGATCACTGTCGCCCTCTGACACGGTGCAGCATAAACATGATACTGTAGCACTTCATTCAAACAGCCAAGTGAATGTGAACACAAATAATGTTATGGCAACACCAGGTTTTTTCATCAGTTCTTCGTTTGAACGCTGTGTATTCAACCTTCACAGCTCGTAAACCATAAACACTTGGAGTCTTGGGACTCCTTCCGTTATACAGCTAGCACTAGCGGTATGCACACATCCGTGGTTTCTCAAAATATTTTGTATAATTATCTTTTGCAGAAGAAACTTAACTTAAAAAATGTATTATGAATTATAGATTTGTTGATGTGTATTAAAATCTTTTATTGCGCAGATTATTTTCAATGTGAAGAGTATTATTCAACGCACTATTTTTTTACGCGGAAGTATATGATAAGTCTGTTCGTAGGTCTCTTAGACGATAAAGGCGGGGAATTTTGAACTTAAAGAATAGTGAATACTGTATTAAAATCACAAATGATAATTACAAGCACTAGTGCTTCATGTTAAATTTTGCGTTTGTCCAGTTGGCATTCATCAGGTAGATCTTGCGAACTTAATCCCAGGTATATTTTATCTTGGGCTT